TGCTTTGGCCAGTAGATTTAACCTTTTTTAGGTGAACTGTAGGATGCAAAACTGTACTTCCACGTGCATGTGCAATTGCAGATGTGTCTTCATGTAATGATAAAGCACTGTACACATTCTTTCTCTCCATTCCATGGGCCATAGTTATCGCATCCATATTTCTTGAGCGACCAGATGAAAAAGAAACCCGAATAAATGCAAACAGCTGCTCATTCTGATCACTTCCAAGGTAATAAGTGACGATTTCAGCATTAGGGAATTGCTTCTTCAGCAGAGTTAAATACAAAACAAGACCGTCACAAGTACATATAAGATCAAGGACCAAGGTACGTCTGATTCGTTATGCTGACAGTTGAGTAAGTATTCTCTTTCCAAGTAACGAAAAATGTTTTTTCTCAAACAGTTCCATTTGTATTATACTTTATAGTTTAGAGTCTAATTTGGCATGATATCAGATCATGTGATATTACATGGCCCCATGGAGAGCATTGCCAGAGCAATTGGCCAGAGAGCTCCATAGAAGTAAGGGGCCTACTCTAGCCAACAGCTCTAATACATTTCCTTCCTCAACTTCATTTTCTTCATCTAACTGCTGCTGCTGCTCAGCAACTACTTGATAGCTGGCACAGTGACGTTTGTCTGCGTAGTGTATCTGTTAGCCTCAATTTTGCCTCAAGGAGGGAAGTTAGCCTCAATCCAACCTCACATAAGTTTCGATAAAGTCTCAATAACCTTCAGGCTACAATTACAAGTTTTATAGTGGGTCTATAACATGTTTCCGTACATTAAAGTTAAAACTTAAAATGCGGTCGAATCATTTATTAGCCTCATTTTGGCCTCCTACAAGAAGACTCTGCGATTTCTGAAATGTTGAACTTGAAGAGGATGAATACATTTTTATTGTTGACACATTAGATAGTCACAATACCGAACATGCTCGAAAATATACACAAACGTATACTTGTTAGCCTCATTTTCACCTCGAATATTTAAAGCTTAGATCTCGATCAAGTATAATCACTATGGATTATACTTGCAACTTGGATATCATGGACGTAACATGAGAAAGTTCCTTTTTGAAAGTGGTGAGGCTAATTTGTTAGCCTCAATTGTCCCTCGCAGTTAAATCACTCCTACTGAGTCTAGTGAGTGAGCTAGGAGGTCGCCGAACATCTCATTTTAAAGCCGTATCGATTTTCTATACGCATACCAAAAATCGAATGCGTAACAAAAACAGAAATGAAATTACAGAAGTTTTAATTTTTTTGTCAAAAAACGAACTTTTAGGGGTGTTTCTAATGACCAGGGTCAGTACAATAAATAGAGATAAAGGTGGACAGTACTAGTAGGGTGCAGACTATTCGTTATTAAATTCTCAGTTCAAAGTTTTAAAATTTCATATTTCGAATGGCATAAAATGGAGACAAATGGCATAAAAATCGTCAAATGGCATAGAAATTTCATGGCATAAATGGAAATTTTGCTTGGCCAATTCTCCATTATGCCATTTATGCCATTGGTACCCCCCCCCCCCCCCCCCCCCCCCCCCGACGGAGTCCCAACAGAGATAAATGGGACTGTGACTGTTAAGGTGCATATTCGAGAGGATTAAAGTCATGTACAATCCAACATAGAACATTGCTAACACCACTATGATTAATTCAGTTGTGGTTAGTGAAGCTAAACTTAATTGTATACTGCGATTTAAAATCAATATTGTGTAAACCATAACTTGATTGTGATTGGAAAATAACAGGAAATGCATTGATGTTGTTATATTTATTTAACCAGTTAATTATAATTTAACCACTGTATGACCTGGTTACATGCCATCCGCCTTGATGCTGAATCGGTACTAAAGGTACAATTCATTTCTAGACTTTTACGTCGAATAGTAATAATTATATAGATTCTGCTATAGTGCAGTCTTCGAAGTTTTTGTGCTACATCAAAGAGCTGCAGCAACTTGGATGCATGTTGGAAAATACACACAATTTATTAACACCCAGCACATAAAAATGTATTAATATATGACGAAGGTTCTACTCAGCTAACGAGTACAAGATCTAGAAATTCCCAAACAGTATCCACATCTGTCTCCAGCAACAACCTAGGTTTGTCCCCTATCTAAGCCTTGATGGAAACTTGAAGCACATTTTAAATTATATTCACAAGTAATAAACATAAACATTTCCATAGATTACGAACAATTCATACCGTTAGACATTTTTATATACTAGAATGCCCATGGTCAGTGGTCACAGGGAGGAAGATAATACAGTATAAAGTATTCTTTGAAAGTCAGTTTTTATCGCATCGTGAAATTTCCGACTGAATCATGGACTCAACATAAGTAGCCATTAGGAAAAAGTAAAATAAAAGAATTTATAACAAGTTGTTAAAAATATAGAATATAAATATTATCAAATTACTGATATCACAACTACTGTTAGGTAAAATCTATTCAAATATCCTGTACTGCATTAGTCTGGGGATCTCCCGGTTGTAGCTGCGTCAGTGTAGGTTAGGTTGTGACGTCGCAGCCACACAAACTCGATCTTATCGACTGACCCATTTGCCATTGTCGAGGATATCCTCCGCATACACTGTCGAATGGATTTGTAGATGGACTGCACAGTCTTATCGTTCATTGACAGGATCATAGCGGCATCCGACACACTCAATCTGTTGCAGAGGATCCCCAGGAGATGCAGGAATGCAGTGAAGGAAATACTTCGGTTGTACAGGATACTTCCAGCTCGAATAGAGACCGAGAGTTGACACACGCTGCAACTCCTTTTGATCGCGCGCGAGAGAATTATACAACGTGTAGCAAATAGAGACAATGCTGATACCGGGTGCAGGACTAGTAAAAGCAATCAGGGTACTTTGAGGGAGAGCAAGGTTTCAGCTCCATGTACGCTTGGCAGTATTGGTAGTAGTGATGGGGTCGAAGTAGTTTCACATTGAGGCAGTATTGTAGGGATTCGCTTCTGAGGACAACACTCCTGTTCTTCTTAGAACTTCGTAGAAAAGGAATTGGGAAGACATTATAGTGATAATAATAAAAGGGCGCCTTGCAGGGTTTTTAATACATTGCAGCAGACCGCTGAAAGTTATTTTGATTACTTGCTAACACGTCGCAGAGATGAACACGAGGTATGTAGAAGGTAATTTTGAAAGGTCATGTGCTCCACATGTGACCCTGCGATCCAATAAAAAACCTAGCTTTCGTCACGTGACTATAGTCAAGAAATAGAATCAGGTGACCCAGAAGCAACTGGAGTAGTGGATCTAAGCAAGAATTATACATAACTAGAAAGCCCGTGATCACAGGGAGGAAGGTATTAGTATTCTTTGAAAGTCAGTTTTTATCGCATCAAAAAATATCTGTCACAACCGAAGATACCTGATACAGCCCATTAAAATGTAACTCGTACTAAATACAACGTAATAACAACAAAATCAATCATAATATCGTTGCAACAATCATTGCGACATTGCACGAGGCTCGTGCGCGTTCATTACCGCGTTACCATGGTTACTATGGAACTTCCTATTACTCATCCAATTTGCAGGCGGACATAAAGAAACTTTCGAATTATAGTAGAGATATTATCAAAAGCATTATCATAACCTGCAACAGAAACTCTCATACCTTTCCAACAAAGTTGATAAGAAGTGGATTGTCCCACTGAGTACCGAGAGTGGAAGAGAAACTCTCCATGTCCCCGATGTCATCATTTGAGTGGATCTGTTTTACTTCTTCCAACAATGTGCCACCCACTTGAACGCTGAAAGAGAATCAGCAAGTTTAAGCGACAGTGTTTCCTGGATCTGATACTCAGATTCTATGAAATTAAACATCGAAAATCTTCCTAACATGAATACTCATACTTTTATAGTATTCATTTTTTTCTAAACGTGATTAGATTAAAAATGCCAGCTGAAAACTACTCACTTAGTAAATAGTGTGATAGTGAATGTGTTGACACATTGTCCCGCACAAATATCCCCAGTAAGTGACTTAGAGGCAGGGTTGTTGTACGACTGAATGTGAAGAGAGACTGTTCCCTCACCTAACACCTGTAATCGCCCGGTTCTTTTATTAGCACAATTTGAAGATCTGTTTTTAGTATGAAGAAAATTAAAATTGAAGCAGTCAGTTTTTAAACATAAATAGCATTAGCAGAAAAAATAATACTAAGATGTTTCCAAATTCCGATGATAAATTGAAAATGTCACATCGCTCAATCTGTGCTCCCTAGCTGAAACTCAGAGATTGCATCTCAAACTAAAGTTTTGAAGGACCTGGTAAAAGAGCCAGACAAAAGAGAAGAGCCTGATATCGTCTATACAGAGCAGACCCATTTGGAGCATCTCGGAAAAACGATCACGGAACATTAAGACCAGACATTTTAACTGTGTCCAAGTAGACCAACCTAACCAGCGGTCACAAAATAGACTCCTGCTAGTGCTCGCTTGAATTAGATTTAATCAAATAGTGGATATTTTCCACATGCAAAGCTGCGACTTCTAGCCCAATGAGGACCTTTCCGATAGATCATGTGACCGATATAGACCAATGGGAGTGCTCAGATTGGGTCTGATGCCGGGTTAGGACACCAGGGGGCCGGTTAGACCGAAAAGCAATTTACCAAGAAAGCTGACATCACTATTGCAAGGTGGGTTTTTAAGTGCTTTTAGAATTACATGAGTGCCAACGAAGTCACTGAATGAGCCTACCAGCAGAGGTTAAAGAAGTGAGAGTTTTATCTGCTACAAATGTGTTCTGTTACTCTTATAAATTATTACTGGTTACAGGGAGGAGACACAACTGGGTCCCGGTCAAAATTCGGGACTGGTTGGATTGTGGATCATACGTAGGAGAATTCGGATTACTTTTATTTTGAGGTTGTCCGAAGCTTTTGGCCTATATATCAATCTGTTTGATTTTACCGTAGCCCATTTTAAACAATTGAGAATTGAAAACAACCAAGTTAAGTTATATAAAACCACCAAAGCATTCAAACTGGACATAGATACAAAATCCAAAGAAATTAATGCTAGTACAATCAAAATAAATTAATCAAATTCAAAAATGGCTTAAAACTAAAACCTACTAAGATCAAGTTTACTAGAGTTAGAAATAAAAGGAAATGAATTACTACCCCGCTCATATGTGACAACAATATGTGACAACGATTGAAAATTACGAATCCTCAAAAAAACTAACAACTAAAACTATTTTGGTTTTGAGAGTACTATTCTGGTTTCAGATTTCAACAAATCTTTACGCACGATATATCATCAAATTCTTTCATAGTTTAGATGTTAATAAATCAGGAACACCTAAAATGCACTGCCACTACTTAAATATTGCTTATTCACTAAAAATATACATATTCAACCTTCAGCCTATGAATCGTTAGTTTGAGATTGTCACCATCAAAAACTAAGGAAATCTTGATATCATCCCAACTAAATAGTGGAGAGTGTATCTAAGAGATGTTTGGGTGGCATTCCTTCGTAACAAATCTCGTAAACGCTTCTAAATAAGGGGTAGGATCCTTCTACACCCTTAGCTTTCAGTACGTGGTATACCTGCGGGAATATTCACTTAATAATTTTGATTTAAAAGTCAATGTGAACTCATAAAGGGTCCATCGTTTAATATAAGAAATATGTTTTGTTGAAAATCATGCAGCATCAGACATAATAAGTTAATTTAATCTTTAGGTTTGAGAAGGTTAGCCTATAAGTATAACTGTACTTCTCGACCTAGGAAAAGCCAAAGAAATCTTTTTAAACAAAGATAATCTCCGACAGCGAGTTTAGACTACAGTTTTCAATTCTTAAGAATCGAAATACCTCTTTAGCGGTCATCGGTCCCTGCAGCTTTTGTCCTCCTAACATCTCCGCTTCCAGAACATCGAGTGTTTTTCCTGTTTTTACGAACGCTTCGGAAACTTTTCTGTTTCTTCCACCATAACAGCTGAAATGGTTTCAATTTTTCAATGGTTTTTAATTTTCGTGGGCGTACAATTCTCTTAAATAATCCACAATTAAATTGAGCCAGCTAAATTTTAAAAAATAATATTTTAACTCAGAGAATTTATCATATTTTTTCTTATCAATCTGAAATTCACGAACTAATTCACGATCAAAAAGTAAATGGAGCCTACGAAGGTCGAAAGTAAAAAAGGAAGAAAATAATAAATTGAAATCCCTCCCGACTAACGTGGTAATTAAATCAGCGACTCCGCAACTCTCAAAGAATGTCAACTGCTGACTAGCTGGACTAAACATCTTGCTGAACTGCACCATCTCTTTCATTCCTAGTCGGATGATGGCTGCCTTCGTGTTGCCGCCTGTTGGGGTGTCTTATTTACAATCGTGATTGGTGACAGAGAGCACAAGAAGATACGAAACTGTTGCATCAATATATATTTCTAATTCAGCAAAGATTATCAACTGTACGTCTAAGATAAGGACTCATTCGTTGGTAAATTAGACAATTGTTCAGTGAAATGTCGAAAGCAACAATAATTATAATACAGCAACGTAAATAATTAGCTATTAGCTTAGTCTGAATAGACAGATAGCCAGCTGGATGGTAATTGTAACTCACCAAGGCCCATCCCGTCCACAAATCCTGCAGCAACTGCAACTATATTCTTCAGGGCGCCACACAACTCCACTGTATCTTTATCTGAGATGAGTATCTGTTTTATAGTTGGTGGTGACTTTAATATAAATGGTATTGATAATAATGTGATTTTTTAAAGAGTCAATTCACACTCAAGGATCTTGTATGTGACATGTTAAAGTACAATACTTATTGAAGTCAAATATTAGATTAGCATGAAATTGTTTGGCCAGACGATAGAGGAGCCGCCTACAGAAGATGATAAATACCGCTATCCTACAGCCACCTTTCGCTGTGACGTCATCAGTTAAACCAGTTAACCCAGAATTCGTAATTATGTCATCATCAGGTTGTAATATTTTTGGTTTGAAATTTAATGTGTAATTTTCGATGAAACCACTAATAATTAAACCATCAGCTAGTAGTGACTTTGGTTTTTCTACTTCAGTATTATCAGTGATTATACTTTATTATTAGATACATTCCTCAAGATGGTGACTCTACATGTGTACAAAACATTCAAACTGATAACAATTGAAATTCCAATACAATCCAATTTCACAGAAATCCCGACAGTAAAAGAACAAACATCAGGAACTATCATGGGAAACACCCTCTTATAACTGTCAGACTGACAACTGGTATTTAAAATGAAGAATATTACATCGGGTAACATGGCCTCTTGTCCCTTTCAAGTGTGATATTAAACCACTTCAAACTGCATCGTGATTCAACTGTCAAATCGATAGTTCAACTGGGTTTGAGAAGCCAGGAGCGGCTAAATGAACAAGAGGAAAATGTTTATACAAGTAAATGTTCATACGCCTGTGTTAAACATGTTTCTGACGTAGAGATAAGATATTTTAAAGTCGTGCAATGGACTGATCCAAACAAGTCCAAATACGACCTGAGTCCCGAAGTTACTAAGGACGGAGGTGAGGTTTCATTCAACATGGACAACAAGTTTTCAATTTATTTTTGCTGTAAAACCATTGGCAAACAGATTTAATCACTCGTCCTATTCCTCAATAGTTGGAGAAATTTCCTACTTGGACTGGACCTGATTTTACTTCCACTTCGAGTGGATACAGGCATCATTGCGGTGCGAATCGCAATACTTTTAAGGGACATAGATTTAGAAAGACGTTCCCTAAGTGGCACGTAAGTGCTCATTCTTAATGATACTTTCTTGTCGACTGTCCCCACACCTCTTATACCACAGGTCATCACCCACAAAACAAACTTCCTGAATGCAGGATAGAAGTAAATCAAAAGAAGGTTGGAGAAAGTGGCGTCCAGAGATATAACGTAACTACTGAAGCGTAGGTAGATTGGGTATCCTGAGCTGTTGAATACTGTTCCGTAGATTATGGCAGGTAGCCATGCTATTACGGCGAGAGCAGATAGACAAAGGATCATCGAGATCTTGGCTTTGTCGACGGTTGTCGCTTTCTTGATGACGATCAGAAAAAGTCCACCATTACTTACCACACTTATGAAAAGGGGCAATGCAACGTAAAAAAGGAAGCAAATTTTGTTGAATTTCTTCCAAAACGGACCAGCGTTTTCGTCGTGAACTGTACACCTGCAAAGTTGGAATGTTTGCTTTTAAATCTTACTCCTTATAATGGCACCATAAAGTCGATATATGTCTGTAAATAATCTAACATTTTAAGATTGTCCCATCATAAACTTTGCCAAACAAGCGGAAAATCATTTACCTGTTTATGTTTCTATCGAAAGTGGTAGGCTTGTCGAGAACATAATATATGACGACAGGAATCAGTGAGAGGGTCCACAAAAGAAAAGTTATCAATGTTCCAGTCCTGGCGGTAAGAACTGTGTACATTGACTTGAAAGGAAAAAGGCATCTAAACAATTTATTGGCAGAGAGTAGGGTGGGTTAAAGAGAGTAGATGGATTATACAGAACATGCTGCTCAGACTGGCAGTCAGACCACATAAGAACCTCCCGAAGATCCATTTGTTGGAAAAGTTGGAGAAAGCAGACGGCACGACAACAAACAAGACATATAGAAAGTCCGATATTGACATGTTACTTAGAAACCATGTCGAGGTGACGTCAATCTTAAACCGATCATAGTACAGACCAACAAGAACCAGAATGTTTCCAAAACCACCGAGCACGATCGTAACTAAGCTCCATGTTCCCAGCAGCATCCTCTCTGGATCACTGATTAGATAGCTCAACACTGATGATTCATAAGTAAATCCTCCAGTCAATCCTCCAGTTAATCCTCCAGTTAATCCTTCAGTCTCAGAGTGCATGGCGTCGTTTTATTCTCTCAATCGATCATTAGTATTACGAGGACGAAAAGCGTAATTTATAGTTGTAAAGAATTAGCAGTGATAGAACATAGAACAAAATAATAGAGCGTAAAAAACGACTGTATGTGTTTTTGGAATAATTAAACCAATGACTTCTAGACAGCAATGTTCACTGTTCGGTAGCTTATTTTAATAATAGAATCAATAATAACATAATAAAAGGCCCAATAGTGTACTGTGCAAGGGCGTACAATAGTTCGTCGGCGACACTGTTAGAGCCGCAGTTATATCAGAAGACTGGCGTAGTTCTGGCTTAGTTTTGTCACAGAACTGGCGCAGTTCTGTGACAGTGCTGTCGCAGGACTGTCACAGGACTGGCGCAGTTCTGTGACAGTGCTGTCGCAGGACTGGCGTAGTTCTGGTGTAGTTTTGTCGCAGGACAGTCGTCGACGGACTACTGTACGAATTTGTACAAGTACGTGATTTGCGAAGAACATCATGTGCGCAGAGAAATGTGCAGGCATCAACTCCTTTGTTGTAAGCTTAGTCTTTCAAAGAAGGCACAAATATATTATCCCAAATATACCTCGTAATTCCTCATATCTGCCTTTTCAACTTCACAGCGGGTTCAGGGTCAGGAGATTTTATAAGGAAATGTTTCTACAAATTGATACTTTTCCAATTTCCATTATATTATCGGATATAACTGCTTCATTCAAGCTTTATGGAGCTAGTATCAATATCAAACAATTTGGTGATGTGCATTTAGTGAAAAGTATGTACCGTTTAGATGATAGAAGTGAAATCAGTTTATATATAATAAGAAATTAGAAATCTCAACTACATAATAAAGTATTCGTTTCTTCGACGATCGAAATCAAATGAAAACATTAATAAATCATACTAAGGGGTCGTTCACATATTACATAATCAGCCGAGGGGGGGGGGGTTTCCAAATGCTTACGGTTGATTACAGGGGGCCGGGGGGGGGGGTGGGGTTGGTCGTTGATTACATAATACAAATTTTCTTTTTTACCCTCTAGAATAATAACAATTTGACAATCATAGCATGAAACGTAGAGAAAAGTGTTTTCCAGGGAAAAAAGTCAGGGGGGGGGGTCAACCTATGATTACGTGATATTACTGTCAGGAGGGGGGGGGGGTTGGGTCTTGATTACGGTTGATTACGGAGAGGAAAGGGGGCAAAAATTGCTAAATATTGATTATGTAATATGTGAACGACCCCTAATTAATGTTGATCATCGAAACGAAACACAATATTTACTACCCCGCTCGTATGCGACAAAGATATTGCATAAAATATACCTAAATAATTTACACAATACGGTGCCCATGTCTGAGCGGCTCTCCACAAAAACTTTCTCTCCTCCTCAGAGCAGAAAGTTTTTTTTTTAAATATATAAACTGGGATCTCATAAAAATTTAAGAACCAATGTACTTTATTTGACAATAAAAGATTAAAAATTGTGTCACACCTAAGGTTTATAAACTACCAAGACGTGCGCCGAGTTAGACTCGTCGATGGTCTTATATAATTAGAACAAAAAATTTACGAGTATCACCCGTTAAGTCACACACAAGAAAAACTTCATGATTATGCATCGTTCACTATGATATCTTGTCCTCACAACAAATAATACCACTTCTGATATAATATCGTCTCTTCAAATCCTTCTTTGCCTTCTCTTTCATCTCCAAAACGAGCAGATGATGTCTGGCTTGCTCCTCAGGTGACCGATCTGGTGAAATGAACACAGTTTTGTGGTGCTCACTCAGTTTCAGGTTTTTCGATTTTGATAAAATCTGATGTACAGTATTCGAATTTGATAACACAATTTTGACAGGTCTGGTCTTGTCAGCTGATTTCCTTCCAATCCTTACAGCTTCGAAGTGTGGTTTCACTTCAATCTGTTCAAACAGTTAGTCTACTTTGTCTGATAGTTTCTCTTCATCTGTCTCCTTTAAACCAAAAATGAGAACATTCCTGCTGCGATCCTCTTCTGACACAGCCTTCTGCACAACTTTTTTCAGGCTCTCCTCCGTTATTGTAGTGTTCGGCGAGGCTTTTAACACAGCTTGACTGTATAACTTGATCTCAGCTTGAACAGTGTCCTGAACAGCAGATTTTACGGCGGTCTGAACAGATTCCAACTGATTGGCTTTGGCTTCAAGAAGTTCCCTCTGCAGTTTGATAACCGACTCTTGTGATCGGATGAGAAAACTCTTCAATTCCTCAACATCTTTCATTGCATTCACAGTTTCTCCGACGACAGAATTCAACTGATAGTACATATTATACATCAAATTTGATAAAACCTTCTTGACTGGCTTTTCAAACTTTTCAACTGAAAACATTATTCTATTTTCACAGTTCGTGGCTTTTGCAACATTCGAAATTAAAGTGTTGAAATCCTCATTCGCTTCGTTGAAAAATGTAGAGTGTCCTGATAAACGCTGCAGTAAATCTGTGTCCTCCATCATGTACTTAACTTGTATTACAAGGCTACACGGTGGTCGCAGTGCAATTAAACGATTTTACTGATAAGAGAGCAACTGTTATCAACACACAAGCTAAAAGGTTTAAAGGTAACAAAAATCCAGGTAACAAAAAAATTACAGGTAACAAAAATCCAGAACAAAAAACTCAAATGTGCATAAGAACAAACTGTCCTTCCAAAAAAGATAAATCGCTCGTAAAACTGTACACTTTAAAATGGTTCATAACAATTCAAACTGAAAGTTCATATCCAATGATCAGTTAATTCATAAATGAGCAATGTTTGCTTTTGTTCAAGCTCTTGAAGAACCGGGAGATAAATTTCGTGCTCTGTGCAATGTTTTCTGCGTTGAAGGAAGTTTTTATGACGTTGTTAACCAAGTGCAATCAAGTTGGAATTCATTCCCGATAATAATTGGATAGTAGTTCTGTTAAAAGCTCTTAAGAATCCTTATTATTGGCGAAGCACTGAGCACTGAGCACTGAGCACAGACATGGTGAATGGTGATTGTGACTCTATCTCATTCGTGACGATTCCATATGCTCTCCTTCCCTTATTGCGCCGCAATGGCGACTATAATGAGTGTTTCTAATGTTTACTGTGGATTTTTTAGGTATCATAGCCGTGCGAATCGAAAGGCTTTTAGCAGTCAGTTGCTTTGAAAGACGTTTTCTTAATGGAACGCAATTTGCAGAACTGATTGTGCGTGAAGTTTCCTTTTTATCCTCGAGTGATGAGAGTCCACCCTTCTTACCACAAGTAATCACCCAGAAGACAAAGTTTCTGAAGGAGGGGTAGAAGTAGATTAAAAGAAGGTTGGAGAAGGTGGCGTCCAGCGCTATCAAGTAGTTGACACATCGTAGGAAGATTGGGTATCCTGAGCTGTTGAAAACTGTTCCGTAGATTATGGCAGGTAGCCATGCTATTAAGGAGAAAACAGACAGAAGCAAGATCATAAATATCTTGTCTTTGCCAGTGGAAGGAGCTTTCTTGATTACGATGAAGAAAAGTCCAACATTGCTGGTTACACTTATCAGAAGGGGAAATGCAACGTAAAGGACAAAGCAGATTTTGTTGAATTTCACCCAAAAAATATCAGCGTTTTCGTCGTGGACCGTACACCTGTTTGAATGACGTTATAAAATTTGCAATATAATTATTCATCAAAAATTGCATTTATGACATTGTGATCGACTAATGTCCTACAAAAGAGCAAGCATGGTTTGAAGTTTAATAAAATTATTCCTAACCTGTTTATGTTTCTGTCGAAAGTGAACGGCCTGTCGAGGACGTAATACATGACGACAGGCAAGACGGAAAGTGTCCACAACAAAAATGTTATCAATGTTCCACTCCAGGCGCTAAGAGTTGTATAAATTGACCTTAAAGGAAAAAGGCATCTAAACAATTTATTGGCAGAGAGTAGGGTTAAAGAGAGTAGGTGGACTATACAGAACATGCTGCTCAGACTGGCAGTCAGACCACATAAGAACCTCCCGAAGATCCATTTGTTGGAAAAGTTGGTAATAGCAGTGGGTACAACGATCACTAAAATGTATAGAAAGTCCGAAATTGACATGTTGGTCAGGAACCATTTTGAGGTGAAGTCTATTTTAAACTGTCCGAGGGAGATACTAACAAGAACTAGAATGTTCCCAAAACCACCAATGATGATCGTTGCTAAACTCCAGAATCCTAGTAGTATTCTCTCTGGATCGCTGATCAAATAGGTGGCATATTTGTAGGACAATCCTGCATTTGAGGCGAGAATAGTCTCGCTACGATTAAATTCGTTCATTCTGAAGACGAGTAGTTTCGATAAAAAATTTATAAATAATCGTTGTTAAAATACTCGAAACACAATTTAACACTAAAATACCTAAATAGTCAGCTTCAAAGTGCTGGCACTAATATGCAGGTTGAGAAACAAAGCAACGTTGTAGAAACACGCCCTTTTTCTCTTGTCGTCTCCACACTAGAGCCCTTGAATCTGTCAGCGGTCAGTAATGCGTCAGTAATAATATATTAACAATTAGGACTGTGTGAAACAGTCCTGTGAATATAATGTTAAGTCCAGTATCGGACAAAAGTCAGCGTTACCCTGGTCAGTCCAATCATGCAAGACACTATTCTCAACTCATAAGCTTCGTATAGAAATACAATTTTCGTCATTTATTGAGAGAAACTTCTTATCACATTTATAATCCGGGTTTCGGAGAGAGATTCTCCATTAAGAAAAGAGCTGCCCCCCCCCCCCCCCCCCCCTTCACACTAATTAATTTTAGGTTAGTACAGATACATCATTTACTCTGTGGGCCAGCGGCAACTATAAAAATATAAAATGGCATAGTTATTCATTCACACTTCAAATGTAATTATTTTCCTAGTAACAAATAAATACACAGCTGTTATGTCATGTTCGGTAGAATCCTAAAAATCCTGAGTTTCATTTCAAGTAGTACAGAATTGGTATCAATTATAAAAACCTCAGTTCACATATTCGTGTTTGTTCATTACATAGGCTCTCCGGCGGATCATTTGCATTACTCAGTCGTTGATGTTGTTGCACTCGAACACCACTTGCGGTTTTAATAAAGCTGACAGAATTCAGTAAATCACTTCAAGAAAAACCGCCTGTCGACAATTATTGATGTTCCAATGGGGTTAATTTTAGAGAGTGGTAGATTTATAGTTATACGATAAAGTGCCCAAAGCAAGTGTAAAACAGTTTAAATAAAATCAACTAATTAACAGCTGAAGTTGAGGAACAAATAATTTCGTTGAGATCATCATTGGACACTGAGGCATCTGTGAAGTGTGCCATAAAACATGCAGTCATGCCAATAGGTTGCCTTGTGTCTTTCAATTTACGATTTGAGTATAAAAGAATGCTGTTGCAATGAATTGCGTAACTCAGGGCTTGGCACATACAATTTATAGTCTAAAGTTCAAAATATTAGACCAATCATTGTTTCACTTCCTCTACCGACGCCATCGTCTGGAGGATATGGCGTGATGATGTTCTGGGGGGCATTGTCTTGTTGGCTTGATGAAGTTCACTCGTAGCGAACTGACTTTGGGATAATCTAGTTTTAAGAGGGACGTATACTGTTGTACTGACTGCACGAGACCGCTTTCGTTCGCTGTTTAAACGTGATAGTTCGCCTTTCTTACCACAAGATAGTATACCTAAGATGAAGGACCCAAACGAGGGGAAGAAGTAGATCAAAAGTAAGGTTGAGAAGGTTGTATCCACTGAAATAACATAGTTTGTGAATCTTAGGAAGACATGATATCCTGAACTGTTGAACACTGTGCCGTAGATAACTGCTGGCACCCATGAGATAACGGAACACACCGAAAGTGACACAATCATGAACATTTTTCCTTTGTTAATGTTGTTGGCTTTCTTGATGATGATGACGAAAAGGCCAGCGTTAGCAGCTACGTTGAGTAGCAGAGGTATTCCTACGTAGAAGATAAAGCAGAGCTTGTTGAATTTCACCCAGAAAATTTCAGCGTTGTCATCATGGATCGTGCACCTGCGAAGTTTGAATGGAATGAAATACAATCTTTAAATACTTGATAAAATTCAATAAACAATACTAATCCATTAAAACTATGTCCATTAAAGGTTATAACATTTATTTAAAGAATGTAGAGCTAACCTGTCGAGGTTTCTATCGAATGTAAAGGGTCGGTCCAAAGAGTAGTTCACTACTGCGGGTCCAAGGGAGAGAAACCACATCAAAACAGTTACCAGAGTTCCAGTACAAACATTTAGTTCTGCGCTCATAGATCTCAAAGGAAAAACGCATCTAAACACTTTATTTGCAGAGAGTAGGGTTAAAGAGAGTAGGTGGATTATACAGAACATGCTGCTCAGACTGGCAGTCAGACCACATAAGAACCTCCCGAAGATCCATTCGTTGGAAAAGTTTGTGACTGCAGAGGGTACGACGACAAAAAAAACGTACAGGACGTCTGATATTGCCATGTTGCTCAAGAACCACTGGGAAGTTATTTCTATCCTGAACCGCCCAATGTATATACCGGTGAGCAAAAAGATGTTCCCAAATCCACCCAACATGATCGTGACCACACTCCATGTTCCCAGCATCATTCTTTCAGGACCGCTGATAGGATGACTTGGTGTCGTCGATTCGTTGATTGATCCGTAGTTCATCATTCTTTCATTCACAATTCCGGTCAAGTGTTTGGCTAGTGGCTACACAAAATATGATTGGAAAATTAAAGAAATGTAATTCGATGATTAAATATAGAATATGATCAATGTCTATTATAATAGACATAGGCTATAGAATAAAGACTATTGAGTAATCGACTGACAAAGGAATACAGGCTTGAGACGAAAAACATGATTTAACTTCGGACGATGGTAAAATTCATCCCCGATCCTACTTTGACATGCAACAATAGATGTACAATTAAAACAATTAAACCCAACTCAAATATCAAAGACCAGCTCAAATATCATAGAATAGTGGAATGCCTCAATTAAGCCGGTCTGATGCGGAGAGTGGAGAATTATTTGAAACGTGCTCTTTATTTATAGCGCAACAAAGGCACGACGAGTGTTTCAGTTATCTTTCTATTTAGCCAAAATATCACACGATAATAGTGAGGAGCAACATTCCGTGTTGCCGTAGACATAAATTAATAGTTCGTAATAAGAATTAGATGCAAGTCAATAGCCTTAAAGTTTTATCGGACATGTTGATAAAGAGGTAAGATGTGACAAGGCGTGTAAACTGTAAAATAGTATAGACATTTACAGATATAGTTTTCAGCACTGATATAACTTACTCATTAAGTTAGAGATTATTAAAGTACAATAATGACAGATATTACTTATATGATAGGACAGTCGACAACAAGCACGATTTTAAGCTTATGTTTAAGTTTGAATGTCACCGATACAGCGCTATTAGCCGAGCTCTAAAGCAGACCTATTAGTAGCCGGTTCTAAACCGGCTACTAGCCGGCACTTGAAAAGCGGTCACTAGCCGGCTACTAACCGGCTACTAACCGGCTAGTAACCACCAAGTGGCTACTAACCGGCTACTAACCGGTCACTAGCCGGCTCTAAAGCAGACCTATTAGTAGCCGGTTAGTAGCCACTTGGTGGTTACTAGCCGGTTAGTAGCCGGTTAGTAGCCGGCTAGTGACCGCTTTCTAAGTGCCGGCTAGTAGCCGGTTTGGAACCGGCTACTAGTAGGTCTGCTTTAGAGCTCGGCTAATAGCCGGCTAGTGACCGCTTAGTAGCCGGTTAGTAGCCACTTTGTGGTCACTAGCCGGCTAGTAGCCGGTTAGTAGCCGGCTAGTGACCACTTTTCAAGTGCCGGTTAGTAGCCGGTTGGTAATGTGAAGTTGAGGAGCTGTTATTACAAAAGTGGCTACTAGCCGGCTAGTAGCCGGCTAGTAGCCGGTGTTCATATGGTACTGTGCAGGGACGTTGCATAGACGTTGCATAGACGTTGCATAGACGTTGCATAGACTGACCGTGCAGGGAGTGTGCATAGAGTGTTCATTGTGCAGGGACGTTGCATAGACGTTGCATAGACGGTTCTTTTGTTGTTGCATGGACGTTGCATAGACGTTGCATAGACTGTCCGGAGCTAAACGACCAAGTTGCCTTAATTTTGAATGTCACCGATACAGCGCTAAAAAATAAACACTATGGTGAGATAAATTGGACGTATGATAATAAATTAACTGTGGTCAGATGCTTGTAAAAAGTATCACGCTAACCTATCAGAAAATTGGTGGAACAATAAATAACAATTAAAATATCATACATCTCCAGACTCCAGTTTCATTGAACAGCAAAGTGCCCGGGTTAAGCACTTTTTTCCTTTTTTAACTTATTTTATTTTAAAAAAAAAGAAAAAAAAAAGAATAAATTTTTTTTTTTTTGAAAAAAAAAAATTTTAAAAAAACATTATAAAAAGAATGTTCAATATAAACTATGGGGGTGGGTTTGGAAAAGTGGGTAATTTTACAACATATTAATGTTTAATTTGGGTTACAGGGGAATCGGAGGGGGTAAAAGCCGAAATTTGGTTACTTTAAAGATAGTGAATGATCCCTTTTCATCTCTAGGGGATAATAATGGAGATGAAATTCCTTGTTAATGCGTTAGTCCAGTTGTTTAAATATGTGTAATAAATGTAGAAAAGTCTAACGTTTTGAAAAACGGTGAAGTTTAGGGAAAATTGGATGTAAAAAAGAAATTTGCAATCCTCCATTATTAAATTTTTTTAAAAAAAAAGAAATGAAAATTAAAAAAATAGGTTTTAAATTTTTCTTACTTAATTTGTGTTACATTTAAAAAAATTTAGGGAATTTAAAATAGGGAAAATTTAAAAGTTAAAAATTTTGGGCAAAAATTTTTACTTTAGTTTTGTTTTAAATTAAAGACGATATTAAAAAAAAAATTTATAGTGGATTTAAAAAAAAAAAAAATTTTTAGTTTGGGGGCTTTAAAAATTAAAAATTTTAATGGTTTAAACTTTTTCCCTTAAATTTTTTTATTTTTTTTAATTTTTTTGTATTTTCTTACAAAAATTCGTGGGTTGGGGGGTAAAAAGGAATGCAGCCCCGTTTGGAAAAAGGTTCTGTAGGCCCTCACCTCCTATTACCCCTTTGGGTTTCCCAAAAATTTTTTTCCCTTGTGGGGTTTGTTTTCAAAAATATGTTTTCCTTTACTTTTCCCCCCCCCTTTTTTCCCCTGTTTTTTTTTCTAAATTTTTGTATTTGAACTTTTTAAAATTTAAACCCCCCCAAATTTTTTTTCCCTTCCCCTTTTTTTTGTCTGTAAAATTTGTTTGGGGGGCCCCTTTTTGTTAATTTTCCGAACCGTAGGGTTTTTTTTTTTGCCCTGGGTGGGTTTATTTTTTTTGGGATTTTACAAAAGGGGGTTTTTTTTTTGGAAGGGGATAAATGTTTTTTTTCGGGGCATTTGGGGGACAAATTGGGTTTAAGCGTTAAAATTTTTTAGGGTTTTACTCAATGACTTGGAAAATTGGGCCACAACTTTGGGTTTCCCCATTTGTCGTGGGGAAAGCTTAAAGTTGCAAAAAAAAAACTGGGGGCGAAAAAAAATTTTTTTGGGCCCAAAAGGGGGGTCCCCTTCTACCCCCCCTTGGGTTTTTTTGTCTTTTTGGCCTTCCCAGGGGGTTTCTGTAAAAAGGTTTCTTGTGTTTTAAAACGGGGGGCTTTCGTGTCAGTGGTTTTGACTGGGTTGATGGGTGAGGTGGGGCGGCCCGGGGGGAACTTCATAATGGTTCAAAATACTTTTTTTTTTTCGGGGTTTTAAAAAATTTCCCCCGCCGGGTTTTCTTTCCTTTCCCCTTAAATTTTTTCTCCGGGGGGGGTTTATTTTCCCCTGAAATCCCCTGTTTTTTAAAAAGCCTTTTTTTGTGGGGCTTCTAAAAAAAACTTTTTTTGTAAATGCCCTTCTTTCTTTTTTTACTTTTTTTTTAAATTTTTTTTTCTCTTTGGTTTTTTTTCTTAAATTCTTTTTCTTTTTAAAATCGGGGTTTTTTTTCTTTTGGGTCTTTTTTTCCTTTTGGTTTCAAAAAAAAAATGTTTTTTAAAATTTTTTGGTCTTCAAAAAGGTCTTTTCTACTGGCTTTTGGCCCCCTTTTTCCCCACTTTTTTCAAAATTCCTTCGGGGGGTTTTTTTTTTATTTTTTTTTTTTTTTCTTTCCGACCTTTTTTTCCCCTCACCTCCTGGGTGTTTTGTAAAAAACCCAACCTCTCTTTTCTTTTTATTAAGCCGCCCCCTTTGCTTTCTTAACCCTTGGTTTTCCCTTCCCTTTGTTTTTAATTTCCGTCCCTTCCCTTTTGGTCTTTTTGCCTTTCCCCTTTTTAAATCTTTTTCCAAATTTTTTTGTTTCAAAAAGCGGGGTTTATACAAATTTCCGGGGCGGGATGATATCACCTTGAGATGTTTATCTAACAGCGGGCCGGGCTGAGTGATAATATGATCCCGCGTCGAAATCCCGGAGATGTTTATAGAAATAAGAACAAATTTTTTATTTGTGGATGCTTCTAAAAAGTAACATAATTGCTTAATGCTAAATGCTAAAAATGCTGATTTCTAAATTCAGACTATACGATATGATATTTATAATATGTAAGTGTGTATTACGTAGAAACATTCTGTGTTTTATTAAGAGTCATGTAATAATTGATCTATTATCTATTACTGAAGCTAGGCCGGGATATAATGTGTTCCATAGTACGCTCTATGTGTTACCATAATGGTGCAGAGAAATACATGATTATATTTAACTCATAATTGAGGACTCAAATAGGTGCTTAGTAATGGAATCCAGCGAAACAAAGAACACGTCAACCGGACCACGATTTGTTAAGCAAGGAAATCTAAACACTGGGTGGGCGAGGGATGAAGGTCAAATAACTTATCAATATTATGTGTATTAAGTTACATAACTTTCAGATGGGTTCCAGACACGGAAATAAGTCAACAACTAACAACATGCACCTGGAAAGTGTGGTATAAGTATAAAACACGCAGCACAGTGAACTAACATTATGTCAGTGTTTTATCTCAAGCAGCAGCACCTAGCTTATACATGTTATAGCTATGGTACTGTAGTAGGCGGTAGGTGTTAATTGAGACCATTCCAGACTTGGTGTAAGGTGTTTAATTAGAGGACCAAGCTACCACATCTCTAAAAACCGATCAGGTGCGTGATGCCAAAAAGTCTGACGAAATGGCATAATGAAATCTTTGATATCCGATAAGATAATGTTTCAGAAAAAGGCGGTAAGAACTAAGAACCGAAACCCTGTCCTGAACACTACCTGCACTGGTCTGATTTACTGAAGTAGTGACGACAAGCCAGTAACTTGATAAGCCACAGACTAGTTGTTTATTTTAGGCTGTTAACTAATTACAACAACACTGCAAAGGCAATTAAATAATGTCATTCTGTAGAGGGTTGCCTGTTAACGGCCGGAAAGGGAAACCTCACCAATCACACCTCAATTACCCAGTCAATGGTACAGTTTGCAACTTTGACTTAGTACTTGGGGATCTATCATTTGGCTATGTCATTTTAGGGTGCTACTTATGTGTCTTTTTTGGCATGAAAGAGGTGAATTTCGCGGCTGTCTAAAGAAAATCTGCATCAAAGTTCAAATACAATACGCACTCGGAACTAGAAATAGTAGCTTACAGATTTACTCGGTAATCAAAACAAGGCTCACACAGTAATCACGTCACACATCACAACACTGTAAACAGTTCCATTACATCACTAACCAAGTTTATTTAACCCGGTTGTGTGTGACGTATGTGTGACGTATACACGCTACACATATGTATGGAGCCGAAACGGCGACAAAATCTGCCTTTTATCGTCTACCTTGTCAAATTATGATCAACCGACTCACTGAAAACTGAAAATTTTAAAACCAGAACAACAAAGAGTAAATTAAAGAGTAAGAGAACCAGGGCAAATTTTAAAATATGACATCATGCCAGAATATAAGATAATTGAGCAGGCTAGCAAACCTCATTAGACAAGGCAGTAAGGGTAATTGCCAGCAAATACCCTGCAATTCTGACGTCAAACTTGGAGCTGGTACAAAGAAATCACGTACTCCAATGTGACAGTGTCGGTACTGCAAAGTCTAGAAGCAAAAAGTGGTTTATCAGAAACTGCAAACAAATCAACAAATCAATTGAACTCAAGTATTGTTTGAACTCAACTACTCTACAACTTTTTTAGACTGAACAAGAGTAGACCGGGACTGTTCTTCAGAATTGCGCGGTGAGCAGACAATGAAGAGAATACCGCACTACTGCTCTATTCTCTTAACAACATTTTTAGATACATTCAGCCAATTAACTATAAATGATATCCGTTAACTATAAATGATATCCGTTTACACAATACACACGCTACATCATGATGAGTCTCAAGTTCATAAATTTCGCGGAATGTAACAGTTTTGATCCCAATCAGATATGAAATAATGTTTAAAACTATAGGATCCTAGCAGCCAGCAGGACGGTAATGAGTTAGGTAAAAGACTACGTAATGAAGTCTCTGTGCTTGCAAGAGACTTCTTCTCATGCACGTGATTGGCCCCTAAGGGGCTACTTACCGTTAATTGACGTGGTGAATGGTTGAGCTGGTCTCAACTTCAAGCACAGGTCGCTCCCAAATCCAAGGATAAGCAGTGACCTTCGGCAATAAAAACCATCTCAAGCCTCAACTGATTCATTTACCATTGTTAGATTGTGCCGTAAACATAAATAATTGTTTAACTAAATGAATAATTGTTTTATTAGGTAGGGTGTTAGACTATAGAATTTAAACTCTAAGTTCAGGGGTGAAATAGTTCACCAGTATTCCTTACAAACTATTCCTGTTCCTCTCCCACCCTCGTTATCCTCCCCCGTTATCCTAACCTCCCCCCGTTATCCTCCCCCACCCCCGTTATCCTCCCCCACCCCCCGTTATCCTCCCCCAACCCCGTTATCCTCTCCCACCCCCGTTATCCTCCCCCACCCCCGTTATCCTCCCCCACCCCCGTTATCCTCCCCCACCCCCGTTATCCTCCCCCAACCCCGTTATCCTCTCCCACCCCCGTTATCCTCCCCCACCCCCGTTATCCTCCCCACCCCCGTTATCCTCCCCCACCCCGTTATCCTCCCCCACCCCCGTTATCCTCCCCCACCCCCGTTATCCTCCCCACCCCCGTTATCCTCCCCACCCCCGTTATCCTCCCCCACCCCGTTATCCTCCCCACCCCGTTATCCTCCCCCACCCCCGTTATCCTCCCCCACCCCCGTTATCCTCCCCCACCCCGTTATCCTCCCCACCCCCGTTATCCTCCCCCACCCCCGTTATCCTCCCCCACCCCCGTTATCCTCCCCACCCCCGTTATCCTCCCCCACCCCCGTTATCCTCCCCCACCCCGTTATCCTCCCCCACCCCCGTTATCCTCCCCCACCCCGTTATCCTCCCCCACCCCCGTTATCCTCCCCACCCCCGTTATCCTCCCCCACCCCGTTATCCTCCCCCACCCCCGTTATCCTCCCCCACCCCCGTTATCCTCCCCCACCCCCGTTATCTCCCCCACCCCCGTTATCCTCCCCCACCCCGTTATCCTCCCCCACCCCTCGTTATCCTCCCCCACCCCCGTTTATCCTCCACCTGTTATCCTCCCCCACCCCCCGTTATCCTCTCCCGTTATCCTCCCCCACCCCCGTTATCCTCCCCTCACCCCCGTTATCCTCCCCCACCCCCGTTATCCTCCCCCACCCCCGTTATCCTCCCCACCCCCTCCGTTATCTCCCCCACCCTCGTATCCTACCCACCCCCTGGCCCCGTTATCCTCGCCTACCCCCGTTATCCTCCCACCCCCATTATCCTCCCCACCCCCGTTATCCTCTCCCACCCCCGTTATCCTCCCGCCACCCCTGTTATCCTCCCCTACCCCCGTTCTCCTCCCCTCCCCCCGTTATCCTACCCCACCCCCGTTATCCTACCCCAACCTCGCATTCCCACCCTTACCCTCGACGGAATTTGTTAAGCAAAATTTATACTTTTATCAATTAAGTTTTTAGAGGAATCAATAAACTTATTTCTATAACCACCGCCTAAAACATAATTGTTAGATACATACCGCTTTTCGGGATTACACTTGTCGGGTAATGGTTTCCAGGGTAACGCTTGTCACGTCACGATTTAGTAGTCAGGGTAACGCTTGTCAGGTCACGATTTAGTAGTCAGGGTAACACTTGTCAGGTCACGATTTAGTAGTCAGGGTAACACTTTTCGGGTAATGGTTTCCAGGGTAACGCTTGTCACGTTTTAGTAGTCAGGGTAACACTTGTCAGGTCACGATTTAGTAGTCAGGGTAACACTTGTCAGGTCACGATTTAGTAGTCAGGGTAACACTTTTCGGGTAATGGTTTCCAGGGTAACGCTTGTCACGTTTTAGTAGTCAGGGTAATGCTTGTCACGATTTAGTAGTTAGGGTAACACTTGTCAGGTCACGATTTAGTAGTCAGGGTAACACTTTTCGGGTAATGGTTTCCAGGGTAACGCTTGTCACGTTTTAGTAGTCAGGGTAATGCTTGTCACGATTTAGTAGTTAGGGTAACACTTGTCGAGTAATGCTTGTCAGTGTTACGCTTGTCACGCTTTAGTAGTCAGGGTAACGCTTGTCACGTTTTAGTAGTCAGGGTAACACTTGTCAGGTCACGATTTAGTAGTCAGGGTAACACTTTTCGGGTAATGGTTTCCAGGGTAACGCTTGTCACGTTTTAGTAGTCAGGGTAATGCTTGTCACGATTTAGTAGTTAGGGTAACACTTGTCGAGTAATGCTTGTCAGTGTTACGCTTGTCACGCTTTAGTAGTCAGGGTAATGCTTGTCACGTTTTAGTTGTCAGTGTAACGCTTTTCAGCCAATATATAAAGATAGGTCTTGCACACCCCAAAAAAATTGATACCAATAAAACCAAACTGGTAAAAATTGCTTTTCATCAGCATCGAGTCGTGATCTTCCATCAGGAAAAGCAAATGATATTTAATCAAAGTTAATGCTATTCCATGCACTTGCTTTTGTCTGATAACGATTTAAACGACTCGACGGCGCCTGGATAAGCGGGGGATAAAGTATTGCACAAGAACAAAATTAAACAAAGGCTATTTCATATCCTTGCACTCTTGGTGATTGGGTCGACAAAAACAAATCTGATCAGATTTAAATCTTTTTGTCAGCTAATATTAATAAGATAGACGAAAATATATAGTGAATATACGCTTACTGACTGATTCTGAGTGATGTATACACTATACAAATCATTGCGACATCCTTTTGTCCATTAGTTAAATCACAATTGGATACAGCATTTGAAGCTAGAAAGCTGAAAGATTGTCGAAGTGCTGCTATTATTCCTCAAGCACATTTGTCAGAATAATGGCAACCTGTACAAGCTTAATAATATGATGGTCATGTTTTTTCTTCAGAAATTACCACTATGCCAGCCTGACTTGCAAGCACTAAGGATTCGCAGATGAACTGTGAACAACATGTATTTACTCTCTAGTGACCAGCATTACAGGTGTAACGTTCTCCTGGCGAAATGATGGCTAAGAATCAATCTCCAAGTAATCAAACCAACTTGCCTTTTCAAAACAATTTGTTTTGACTTTTGATAATTGATATACCAATAGCACGGTATATACACAAACAAATAAAAAATAAGTAGTAACTTGGCTACTTACCTGCTACCTTGACAAATCTATGAATATTCTGCTCGAAGGTTCTCTATAATATAGAGAACCTTCGAGCAGCAGACTTTAATATATATATTATGGAGTATTATTTTCAGCAGGTGTGTCAGTTGCAGTACAATGATGTCACTGTATTGTATTACGAACCTCACACTATCCCTGCAACACGAGTTCTCGCAAGCCAGAAAGGAAGCTGATGTTTATTTCACGGTTACAGTAGGGAGACGAGGCACCAAACTTGCTGACGAGTAGAAAATATTAGCAATTGCACAGATGCATGTGAACCTAATTTTGTAACACACATTTCAGATTATTTTTATTTGCGACTCTCTTGCCAACAATTCCTCTCCAATCACCATGATCACCTCTAGCAACTACACTGAATACGGGATTCACAGACCAGGAGAAAGATGCTTATGGGTCATCTACTTACTAACAGTGCTGCTATCTTCGCTTGTGGGATCCTCTATCATTTTGATAGCTTCAGTGAAGTACAGGGCAATAAAACTGAATATATTGATAGTGGTTGTGATGGAGCACATCGCATTGTGTGATATTCTGACTGCAGTATCATGTGTTCTCCCGACTTTAATATCACTGGTAGCCAACAGATGGGTTCTTGGATCATTAATTGCTCATGTCCATGTGTATCTGTGTTTCTTTAGCTTTCAGGTGGGTAACCTGCTTATTTGCACTTTGACCAGTGTTAAATTGGCCATGCTGATGTTTCCTTCTCGAACAAGGACGTGGACAAAAAATACTGCTCATATAATTTGTGGTGTTGTTTGGACGTTAGCCAAAGTTTTCCCTGGATTACGCTTTATTTTTGATAAAAACGGCCTAGTTTTCAACTATGTTCGCTACAACATCGACTTTGGAACGTCTTCGGAATTTTCTAGCACGGAAAAATCATTAATCTACTGGAGCATTGGGCTTATATTAGCTTTACCAATTATAATTGTGCTTATAACATCAATCGGGACATTGGTGTATTTAGTGAAATCGATAAAAGTAGCAAAGCTATCTCGAGGAAAGCAAAGATGGCAAGGCATAGTCACGGTATTTGTCACCGGAACAGTGTTCTGCATTTCTTCCATCCCCCTCATGATAACATTTGCACTGACGCCAAATGAACAGATTTCAAATAACTTTACGAGGATTTCAGAGAATCTTGCTGTTCTTAATATTATGAGCAACTTTTATATTTATGTCCTTGCGATCCCTAGCTTCAGAAGTTTTATCAAGGCTTCTCGAGTATCAGCTTGGACAATACAATTACAACGTTTTATACTTTGCAGACGATACGGTGTAGAAGGCTTGATTGATGGGCATCAAAGTGAGAATGATAACCAGCGACCACATACAATTGATGGCCCCATAAATGATTATCGTATGATCGAATTGTAGAAACATCGTAAATCGTTATTAAAACACCAACTTAAAACTAATTTTCTTATCTTTGCTTCCCTAATCCTTAAGTGAAGTCCATACAAACATTATATAATGTAAATTACTTTTCAACATGACCAGTTCGTTTCAAGGTGCCTTACATGTCCAAGATTTTTGTGCATAATCTAATTTTGTTTGTTAAAAAAAGTTAACTATAGATATTTCTGTATTTATAGCTTTCAATATCAATATAGTTTCATAGTTAATTAATGTCTTATAATTGCGTACAAGTTATTTGCAAATTAAATTACAGGCCATCACTCTAAATCATGGTGAAAAACTCAAGAGTCCACGAACCTTTGACGGCAGTAGTTTTGAAGTAATCTGTAGTGAACAACTTCTGAAACACGGGACCCATGACGTCATCATTACATCCGATTGTAGCTTCAGAGAACTCCTCCTTGGCGACCTAAATATATGAAATATGTGAATATAATACAAATGAAATGTAACGTATTCTGCTTATTTTTAAACGATATGAATAATTTAATGTATGAAGCTGTTCTTCAACTGAAATAGTCCAATTATAGCAAAATACAACCTACTGAGTTCAGATAAATAATAATGAAACACAATCCCCAGCATGCTTACTTTAGTTATTGAAGGAATTAAATCATCATCAAATATAAAGCGCGAATTATCCAAACCTCGTTAGCAATATTAGCACCCATCAGCACAGAGCAGTCAGTACCGAGCTCTTCTTGGATAAGGGTTGAGATAAGCTTTATCTCGGAGGAATCCTGCAGACCTTTGATACAAGATAGTGACACTGCATCTGGTTTTACAACGTCCTTTATCTGTCCGCAGAGTCTCGGCACAAACTGAAGGCAATGAGAATTATACAAGTTTTAAATTTATTTAAAAATGGCAACACATATCAATCAGTCATCATCAATGATTCGATCCAATATTCACTTTGGCTGCCTTAGTTGATGCTAAAGTGATCGGCGAAGAGATAATCTCTCTAATTACTAAATTATTGGTGAATATAAAATTGCACTATATTGACGAGGTAAAAATAGTATAAAAACACAACACTGACCTGATGTGGCAGAACCCACACAAGAATGTCAGAACCAGTAACAGATTCAACTACATCAGGAACTGCTAAAACATTTGCCGGCAGCTTGATTCCTGAAATAGGACACGTGATTAATGTTAGCTCACTTGCTGCACTAGACAGTGGTCAGAGAATACCAGATGTTCTGGGTATTACACAAAGCACTGATCGCTGATCATTATGTATACTGTACAGATAAAAGCGGCACAATCGTGATAATCCTTCTTTCACAACTCCAACTTGGATAGATTAGAGGTTGATTCATCGGGAAAAAAAAGAGAAAATAAAACTGTTGTTAGGAGAACTGAATGAAAAAAAACAAGTTAGGTAGGTTACCAGGCAGGTACTTTACATTCTCGTGGGTTGAGTTGATAATGTGAGACAACTTCTCACCGTTCACCTCCTCCTCAAACACCCACATCTTCACCTGGGGACCAACATATTGAGTTAAACTTGCCTTTACATATATATAATAGATATTAATGGGATATTAAACATTTTAATGGGGTCAGTAGCAGGCAGCTGAACAAACTTATTAACTGATATATATATATCAGTTTATATATATCTGTTTATATATAAACAGATATGAACGTCTATAAAGGTTGTAAAATGTAAATAATTCTTTACTCGATATTTAATTTTAATTTACATATATATATATATATATATGTATATATACAACAGTTCAGAACGCGCGCATAGATAGTCATCATAAAGTCGTTCGACTTTCGCGCGGAATGCGATGAAAGGAATAGACAGTGTATGCCATATGGTCGGCAAGTGCCCATTGCACCATGTGCTGAGTGCACACTGCACAGTTTGCAGTATGCACACATCCAGACGATGAATAGAAGGTAATGCTTGACTGCTTGTGGAAAATGATAAGTTATGTGAATATAAGCTACGAATGATTCAGTCAAACAGTAAATCATAAAAATGACAGTTTAGATATATCGCGATAATATTGTGGGACAAACGCTAATTCAACCAAATAGCGTTTGAAATATTTCCTAATTAAATTATCCATTCGTGCGAATATTTTCGCATGATCGATAAAAATGTAGCCGTAATACCAAATAATAAGGCAAGGATGTTGTAGGACACGTTATCTTGAGTATAAACGTGAATCTTGTACGGACAGCTCTTTCGTTATAATGCGAGCTTGTTGCAGGGCCATAAAGTGGGGCAGAGATGAGGGGAAACTTGTCTAGGATTTCCGACCATTAGGTGGCCCGAAACGATATTTGACTTATTTGGAGATTAGGACTTAGGAGCCATCTGACAGCAGTTCAATACTGACGTTGTATTAACGAAATAGCGCAAAAGAGGGGAATATAGGTAATCGACACATTTCTCTAACCTCTGAAATTTTTCTGCAAGCATTAAGTGTGGGTAATGACTTATGGGCCACATGATAATTCTCAAAATTATATGAAATTAAACACATAATGCACATATTCAATTTCTCGTGAGGGCTAATACTATGAATGATAGCAGTTCCTCCTGCAATGCACTACCTTCTTTAACCGTTATAATTACACGAGCTCTCGTCTCCTCTCGCACCGCATGGCATACTCATTTCAGTTTCTTGAGCAGCTGTTTTACATTTGCTCTCTGTCTAGTTTTCTAGCACCATGAACGTTAAATGTCTTATGTTAGTGATAGTAGTGGGGCGAGTATTCTCAATGTCACAACCAAGTACTGAGTCCGGGAAGTTGGAATCAAGGACAGAACAAGGGGAGCAAACGCCATCTTCCAGTTCAAGTACCAATTCCAGTACCACTTCATCATTTACAACTACTACACGGCAAGGTATGAACTTTCAGACTATAGGAATTAGGAGTTACAGCTACAGTGAATCTTTAACAGTCGATGATGTTTATGCGTAACGTTTAACACTGTTTTGAACTTCTAACAAGTTCTACAAACGTCAAAACAGTTGATATGAACTGACAACGCCATATTAAAGTTAACTAACAATAATTTCAGTTACATGTAAAATAGGCGAAGTGAAGGGTTTTCTAAGGAACGTATGTAGCAACAACACCTCCCCCTTCTTACTCTCGATCAAGTGCCACAACTCAGATCAATTCTACCAAGAAGGGACGGATCGGATGGACGGATCAACATGCTCAAACGATCCCCACTTTTACCAAGCCTGTGGCTTAGGAGGGAAAATAACCAACGATGATTTGTTGTGCGAGTATTATTTATGTGAGCAGTACGGGGGATACGTTACATCTGAGAGTTTGGAGGTGTTAGGGTGGAAAGTTTGTAACGGAGAGATGGACTGTAAGAATACAGGACTCGATGAAAAGGGGTGTTCTGATATGACGACTTTGCGGAGTGGACTAAAGGCTGTCTCTCATCTTATTTGTAATGATGTTTGTAATACCAAGTATTGTGAGGATGAGGCGGTATGTAACGGCTATACCTACGGGATGTACTGCAGGAAGACGTGGCAAGATACGGTAAACTTGCACTGGTATGTGCCCCCGGAATCTATATGCGATGGAAGAAACGACTGTGATAATGGGATAGATGAGGCAGATTGTGAAGTCACAAATGACACTTTACACACTTGCGTGAAATCCCAGAAATTAGTACCGCAATTAGTACCGATACACAATTACACAAGATGTGGAACTAAGGGGGTTATAAATACAAGCTGGTATTGCAGTGGGTATATCTCTGTGGATCAGACGAACTGCACGGATCCGCAGAGAATCGGAGCTAGATGTGAGATTGGGGGATATCTATCTACTGTGTCCAGAAACATGATTTGTAGAAATCCCCTGACTGATACCTTTTTTCATAATTTCTATGCAGAGGATGCAAAGCTATGCGATGACGTCATAGAACGCAAATGTTTTTCTCTATCAAAGGCGTGTTTTGTACACAAACACTACATCTGTGACAACAAATCAGACTGTACAGATGGTAGAGATGAAGAACACGTGATGTGTCTCTCAACAACTGAGGAGACTTGTAGAAGACGTGTGGGCAGGGAAGTGGAACTACCAGTACCACTCTCCTGGTTGAGAGACGGAGTTCAGGACTGCATTGATGGGAGTGATGAAGCGGACATCTGGCCTACTTGTGGCGAAGGAACAACTCTAAGACACGTGACTAACATCAATACGTGTGAAAATGTTTTTCTTTGCAGATGGGATGATCCAGGCTATGTGGAGCTTCACAAGTTATGTGACGGAGTAGAAATATGTGGAAACGAAAACAAGATTTGCTCTGTATTTCGCGGTTTCAGACAATTGTCCACTACAGTGAGAACCACAAATAGAGGTCTAGTAAAGCAACTCTCGCTCTGTCTAAATGGTCTAGAAAACCTTGTTCTACTCATTGGAATACCTTGTTCATCGGAGAGTTTTATCTTTCCAGATCATGACTTTTTTGGAGTAGAAACTAAGACAACAGTCAGTCTACCAAACGGTAGAAGTGATTGTGATCACATGTTTGGAGAGCTGTACTTGTACACCAGTTGCAACAACAAATGTATAAACTCAATCTGTCCACTAAAAACTCTTCCTAAATACGAAGTCTGTCCTGAACAATATCCCAACAGAATAGGAACCATAGCCAATCATAACTATTTGGCATTTTTTACAAAGTCGTACGAAAATATTTATACCAACCGATATTTCGTTTGTGAAAACAAACGGAGGTGCATCGACTATTCGCAGGTTTGTGATCTCGTGGATGACTGTGGAGATGCCTCTGATGAAAAATGGTGTACTAACCATTTTAAATGCAATTCTTCTGGTCATTATATTCCAAAAACCAAAATGTGCGACGGTAATTTAGATTGTATCGATATGTCGGATGAATGTAATGACTATTGCTCAAAACAACTCCTAGAAAATTTCCACCTAAAAGGGCTCTCTTGGGCGATAGGATCTCTTGCTGTTTTTGCGAACTTGATCATCATAGGAAAAAGTATTGGAACGTTGAAAAGCTGTCGAACATCGGTGGCTTTAGTAAACAAATCTCTTGTCATACTGATTTCTTCGGGCGACCTTCTTGTAGGTCTCTATCTATTCATCATTGCAATACTCGATGGGATCATTTTCGAGAAAGGTTATTGTCTTCAAGAGATTACTTGGAAAACCAGTTTCAAGTGTTCGCTCATTGGTGCATTAAGCACAATTGGCTCCCAGATTTCACTATTTTCTATGGCTGGTCTCAGCATAGTAAGAATTCGTGGTATTTCGAATAAAATGAAAATTCCCGGAGAAATAACTCCTCTAAAATCATTTCAAGTTGTAACAGGAATGGTTGCCATTGTCATAGCATCATTTGCTATTGCTGTAACTCCAATCATTGAACGATTTGAAGACTTCTTTGTAAATGGAGTTCATTTTAAAGACCAACTTAGGATATTTATAGGGACACCAGGCAAGCAGCAAATCCTTGCTGCAATTGAGGCATATCACGGAAGAATGAAAGAAACAACTCTGAGCTGGAATATGACCATCAAAATGGTACGAGAAATGTTTTCACACCAGTCAGAATACGCAGACTATACAAATGAAGTTAAAAACGTTGGTTTCTATGGAGATGATGGTGTCTGTCTGTTCAAGTATTTTGTTAAAGATAACGACCCTCAAAGGGAGTTTGTATGGAGTATCCTTGCCATCAACTTCGCCTGTTTCTTCTTCATATCAATTTCATACCTTCTCATTGGAGCGATTTCCTACAGATCTTCGAAGAGCCTTTCAAGTTCGCAAGAAAACCCGCAGGTATCTCAAAGGAACAGGAAAATGAATCGGAAGATAGCAATTATAATTTCTACTGACTTTATATGTTGGATGCCCTTTATCGTCATCTGTATTTTGCATACCACAGAGACCCTAGATGCCACTCCTTGGTATAGTTTCTTCTCTATGATTATCCTACCAATCAACTCTGTGATAAATCCTTTCCTTTATGATGACATTATCACTGAATCGTTAAGAGTGTCCTTCTCAAGACTATCATCAAGAATATCAGGACTCCGTCAAGTTATCCGAGATAAATTTAGTTGCGTTCAGCCGGAGGTAATGAATTTGGAACAAATTGGGTAAATCTAATGTAACATTCATATGGGCGAATGCTGGGCTTGCTAGTACATAATAACCGTCTCATTTGGAAATCACGAAAAGTTATATTGCGTCTTTGCAACAGTGGGAACTAAATAATAAAGACAAACTGACATTTTATTTCATTGAACTGTGATCCTTAAATTTATATTGTCAATATCAACTTAATTTCAATTCCTGTATTTCAACCGCTCCGTTTGTAATAATTTTATGAGATATATCGAGAGAGAGAGAGTAGCATTACGTCATACAAAAATATAGTTTAAAAACTAAACAAACCTGTGAGTGGAAGAGATCAGGATATTTGGCAGTATTAGAGCCCACAATCTTAGCAATAGCACTGCCCCAGTTTCCTGATCCGATGATAGTGACCTGACGCAGTGACATGGTGGAACTCTGAGAGTGTTTAACAAATTAGATTATAATTAAATAGTTAGATTATAATCCCTTGGGAATCAGATGTTGAGACTAGATTGTGTGCTTTAGACCAGAATAAAGAATCGAGTCGGATAAAACAATTAATAAAGCAATAAAAATAAAAATATTAATAACCGGTAAAAAATATGATTATAATAAGTTAGATCTACAATATACAGCACACACAATCATGGAAACTAAAACACTTAAAGGTATCAAATTGGGGTTTAAAATTATCCTATCGTATGCTGGTAAATATACATCAGTACCATCAATATCGAAAATCAAGTATAAAGGAAAATAAAATATTAAGCAACATGAGATAGCAACACCATTATGTCCCCTCAACAAGTCCCAAGAAGTCGTGAATTCTACACCATAAAATTTAATGAAATAAAGTAATAACCCCGTTTGCAACGTACTGGGTATCAAATGTTACATACTGGGTAGTATACAGGATATTTATCTGCACCCAAAATACACATACATGTGTAATGTGCAATGTACTTTAATTGTGAATTAGTCCCTTGAATCTAATGAAATATCCATTATCTATGTTGTTTTGTTTATTTAAAATCTAATCCGTTATAAAAACTCAAATAAATATATTTTAACCGTTACAAATTCTACGATAAAAAACCGCAGCTTTGTTCGATGATAAACTGTTCAAAATAAGTGCAATGTCTACTTCATGCCAAGTATCACATCAACGGCGTGACTTAAGTTGTCTGCTATGAAGGTGGGTTTTACTTTAGGATGGTTCGCATCTCTTGGCCTGGGAACAAAATCTCAGGTAAAACTAACAAAATAGCAAAATCAATGGTCACAGCTGACAGCAGGTCACCCATGATAGAGTTACAATTTATATATTATGTAATTATCATGTAGGAAAAGTATAAGTTTCATGATTTTAACAATTCGTTGTATGGATTTGTTTAGAGTTTTAATTGACTGCAGTAACTGTAAACATGCAAAATATATTCAAGTTAGGAGAAAAGGAGGGACCTGGTATATTAAGGTACCCGGTATAGAGAGGCACGGTATATAAAGGTTCGAATGTAGATAGTAGTGCTAACATTGTTCTTCTATGACGTTCGAGCTAAGGATCAGAGGTCGAAATATAATTAAATTTGACACCGCTATCCGATTGTTAGGGTCGCAAACAAATCATACTGATTTAAAAATTGCGTTAATACTAAATATACGGACCTGAATTTTCCAGTCTTGACAAGAACAGCAGCCTGAAATCCGGCGCTCAAAGCACCTCCAACGTCACCCTCCACATCGTCACCAATCATCACTAGATCACCAGGTGCTAAACCAATCATCTTGGCTGCTTGGTTGAAGAACACCGAGCTAGGCTTGCCTACTATCTCCGCTTGAACTTGACTTGAATACTGGACGTAAGAAAGGTATTATGTAATCATATAATAATATTATAATAACAACCAGCATATTTATTACATTATTAGGAACGCAATGTTGGAAATGAACGCCTCATTGTCTCCAACACATTATACTAAATGTTTATCGAACGATAACAAATTATAGTAAATAGTCGATGATTACCTCTCCCAGTGTACGCATAATATATTCGGGTTCTCATTTTATGTCCCTTTGATATACGCAAATTTAATCTATCTTTCCTTATGCCTTATCCTTATCAATTGACCAGGTATTATTCACAGGAATGCATGATCTAAGTGGTAATACGATTAAATTCAATGAAACAATAAGTTTTCAATGAAACAATAAGTTTTATTTTACATTCCTTTCATAAATAAAATAAGAGCTTAAACCACGAATTAGTTAACTAGAAGTAAACTTGAGGAAATATTCTTTAGTGGTTGAATATAATTATTTTAAAAACTTTATCTGTTAGTATTTTATTATGGAAAGTGGTTGAATTTAGTGAGACAAGGTCAGTTTCTCTATTGTCTCAGAAAAATTTCTACTTTGTAGTAGGCAATGCTGAGTGGCAGGAATGACGGACCAAAACGCTTGGGGCTAACAATGGCCCATTTACAAACCACTTCAGACATGGCAATGATGTCATTTATGCTTAATTCGTCTGAAACTGACCCTACTGCACTTCTAGCAATCTATAAAAATCTCTTCTAAAATAGGTATAAAAATGCATAACACAAAACACACAAACAAAATGTTTATAATCCTTATATAATAAATTTCTATAGAACTTTTAAATTTCTATAAAACTAATAAACCTATATTATATATATATATATATTAATTTTGCACCCAGAGAAAGATGTGATCACAGATGTAGTTTCGATATTATGATCATGACAAGGTATGGGGCTGCTGCAAGTTATATTTTGCTAAGATATTACCGCTTTTTCAAGCTTAAGTAATCTAGGCAAGGTCAATTTTAAAGTTTTTGAATTTTGTCGAACGCTGTTTAAGGCTAAGTTCCAGTCATTTGGTTCTCCTTCCTTTTGAGTGTGAGTGATGGTGATTCTTATGGATGATTTGAGGTGATTGGGCTTATAACAGGTGAATGTAGTTAGCATGAGATTTTGTCGTACTGTATTCCATATTGTCCCCGCTCTGTATATGTAGCTGTCTGATGGTTTAGGTGTGAGAATGAGTGTCTCTTTGCCAAGTCTGCCAGGAATGCATGATCTAAGTGGTAAAACGATTAAATTACAAACTCTTACTCAAGTTTCAGCCGCTGCATGTGTAATGAACTTAACATCATGAATTTTACACGTTCAACATATTAACTCTCCGGGCTGACTTACCTCTAATCCGGCTACAAAACACCCCAGATCAACTTTAAGCTCTCCAGAATCCATGTAGTACTTTCTGAGATTTAAAAAAATGGTTATCAGCTTGATTTTAATCTTTATCAACAATTTGAAATTTCGTAATCTCAATTATCCCGACAACAGAGAAGTTGCCAAGATTTCTTATATCTCAAAAAAACACAAATTAACTTAAAAAACACAAATTAACTTACCCTTTCCCTAGGCTGTAAAATTTGCGTTCACCTGAAAATTAGGAATTGATCAATTTCTGTTGAAATATAACTCAATTTACATAGATACGTTTAAAGTATAGAGCTAGGTACAAATATAAGAGAAAATAGGGTTCAAACCGCCTACAAGTAACTTGAATGTTTTGTTAACAATTTCATAAGTAAAATGCTCTTCTGCATCGCCCACCACCTGTAAATTTAATTGAGTATTAGCTGCTGCCTGAGTCAGAACTTAGAATGATAAAGCCGAGAGAAGCTTTAATATAATAAAAAAGGTTAGAATATAAGACACTTAACACAGGAAAGTTACCATGTTTTAATAATATTTCAATTATATTCAAGTTATCAGAAGATTTCTGGTTCATTAAAACCAAAGAAAAGGAGTATGATCACTGGCCACTTATCTATCAACAACAAAATCACCTAAAATATTCCAAAATTTAAAAACATTAACTGCTAACCACACAATCAGGGTTGGTTTGATCAAACTGTGAAAAATCCTCCACTACTTTCTTATTCACCAATACAAAAGGTCTGTGGTTATTCTCTTTTATCACCTGTGAATGGATATTAAAGCTATAAATTGACATGTTGTGATCAATTTGAAAGTAGGATATAATAGTCCCAAAATAGGATATAATAGTCACAAAATAGAATATAATAGTCCCAAAATAGAATACAATAGTCCCAAAGGAGGATTACTAACTTGAATGATAGCAGAAACTGGTGAGAGGATTTGATCGGCTCGCACATTGAATCCAATTTCATTGAGCTTTTGAGCTAGGATAGCTGTTGAGTAGCAGCTTTCGTTAGTACACAAGACATAGGGTACTCCACTCTCTTGAATCCTAAAGAGAAAATATAATTATCACAGCACTTTCTGTGTTCATCTATCATATTTTTATTGATGTTAATGGTCACATTGAACCATTATTAAACCACATAAACCAATTGTTTGGGTAAAGGAAAGAAAAATTTTTTTAGGAAAGAAAAATTTTTATTTACCACAAATAATCAATACATAATGTTATATTCATAAATAAATTCAAATTTCAATTTCAAACACATATACAGTACGCCGCGCACACAGCCACAATTTAAAATTGTTCAGAAATTCGTAGGTCAGCTGCAGGCGCCGCGCACAGGATCTATTTAATTGTTAACTTACAATTACATGTCACATTTCTTAATTACTAGAGCCAAAATTTCAGAAGCAAAATAATTTAAAAGATATTTCTGTCGTTCACGCAGTACAGGTCGTGAGCACTGCGATCTAATTAATATAATAATGGAGAGATTCCAAAAAACCGCGCGCTCGTTATTTATTGTGATTAAATTGAGTGCGCGCCACTGTGAACAGCAGTACCGCTCAAGCATGAATTAGTACTGAGCGGTACGCAGTTCTGCGTGAGGCGTAGACATTTGTAGCACACGTTTCATTCAACTAATCCATTAATCCATGTGACATGTACAATGTAATTATATTAAAGCAAAAAGAATATTAATTTTAGTAATAATTGACGTAAACATATGTGTTTAAATAACATCTATAATCTAGCGAGTTACTAATACTGTTCGCGTTTGTTTGTATTCTTGATTATATATCTTTACACTAGCCTATATTATGATGGAGATATACATTATATAATTGCTCCAATATTCAACACTGCTAAACAACAAATACCTACTCGCCCATCGATGAAGCAGTCGCCAAAACAAAGCTCAAAGTTAATATATCTTCGTACTTCGTTTTGGAAACTGTAGAATTCTAATAAATAATCAGTGTTTCAATCGTGTATTCGATGGGCAAGCACTCGCCACTTGAGGCCGAGACAAACGGCACCAGCTCCGCCCCGCAACCGTGAAGTAAGGCGGGGCGGTGGTGTGCGCCGTTTATACGGCCCACAGCACGAGACATTTTGAGCTCCAAAACTTAAGACTATAAAAGTCCCGAATTAAACGTAGCGACTTACCATCGTCAGCCGTCAAAAATTTAGAATTTGTATGTTATAAACTCTACACCTGCTATAAGTCTAACATGTAATTTAGTTTGTTATTGGCTAAATTTTCAACTCGATTAAGCGATGCAGACGGATGAACTAGGCTTCTCCTCCGTCAAAAACACAACGAGAGGGGATTGTGGAAGGACACGAACACTATTCGTTAACTCGTACCCCGGGTACCCCCTAGAACTGTGTCCCATCAGAGAGAGCCCATCACCCGTCAGATCGAAAACAGTGTTTTAGTTTTGATATATGCTGTACCAATTACAATAAATGGTAAGTCAAGGCTGACGTTGGTAGCAAAGTATAAAGTGACACGTCACAACAAAATAACCACTACACACTACACACACTATACGCTATAACTATTGTACACAGTACACAGTATAACTAAAATATAAAATATAAACAAGTTACAAGAGACAAAAGAGTTTACAGAAGAGTTTTACATCGGCTCAGCACCGCCAGGACATTGGCTATACACGTGGGTCAATTAGTTTGATTTGGTATGGCTCGACCGGGAAAGTGGTCGAAATTAGTGCTCTTAATGAGTCATCACTGTCGTCTGAATATTAGAGCGGGAACTTCCCAAGTTTCGGCCGACAACGCGCACAGCATGGGCGCGCAATGCTATGCGCGGTCTCATATTACTGTGTCATTCGGCGGTTGCGCTCAGCGTTACTGGGAATGAGTTGTATGTTGTTTACCTAAATTCAAGCATGGTATTCATAGATAAGCTTGTCAGTCAGTAAGTGCTTAAGTGGGAATAACAGGCAAATGAATATCACTTCATAATCAGAATTCAGTGAAATTTCTGTCACACCACTCAGTTCCATACCGGTTTTGAGCTCTTAGAAGTGACTGTTTAAGTAAATTCTTGACAGATCCGCATGTGGAGGTGAAATTTAACGGGCCAACTTTACGGAATTCGTTCCACAGCCATGCAGATTTATAAATAAATTGATTAGTTGGAGAGGGTGTAATGAACAGATTATCTTTCCTATTTGATATGTTGAATAAGTAGTATAACGAAATTGGTACTCGTGACTTAATGATCTTAAAAAGTTCCATTAAACAACGGTATCGGTACAGGTTCTCTGTAACAAGTAATTCATGTTTTGTGAATAGAGGCTTAGTGGACTCTTTAACATAGAATTCAGATCCTAGACGTTGAGAATTAATTGGTCTTGCTCTAGCACATGTCTTGAATTTGTCTACATAAGCTTCATAGTCTCCAAATAGAATCCTGATACACTTCTTTTGAGTAATAAATAGTGGTTTTAACTGATTATTGGGAATACCTCCCCAGACAGAAATAGCATAACCTAGGTGTGATTCAAAGAGAGAATGATATATTTGTTTATATAGTGATTCTGGTAAGCATTTCTTAATACGGTAGATACGTCCACAAGCACTTCTTAGTTTCTTGTTGAGGGATGATATATGTGGTTTCCAGCTCAATTTATCATCCATGATTACTCTGAGAAACTTTGTCTGACTTACACGTTTAATTATTTTGTTATTAATGGACAAGTTTTGGCTATCTATATCGGCATCTAATTCGTTATTATTACGTTTAGAGGGAGAAAAATACATGTAACAACACTTCTTTACATTAATGTGCAGTAGGTTAACTCCCATATACTTGTTTACGGCCTGTAGTACTTCATTAGCCAATTCATATGCTTTATTTCTCGAATCGGCAGCGACAAATATATTAGTATCGTCTGCAAATAAGACAAATTTACCCTTTTTAGTTATATTGCATATGTCATTGATGTACAGTAGGAAAAGTAGAGGTCCTAATACACTACCCTGAGGGACCCCGAATTCAACCGGTAATTCATCAGATTTGGTATCCAAAACGTTTACAAATTGTTTCCTATTAGACAAATAACTAGAGATAAGATTCAGAGCATTTCCTCTTATGCCATAGTTGTTTAATTTTGTAGTTAGTTTACAGTGGTCTAGAGTGTCAAAGGCTTTTGAGAGATCGATAAAGACCCCTAGGACATGTTGCTTTTTACTAATTAACGATTCTATAATCTATATGTTCTACAGAGTAGTTCAGTGCATGGCTGGTGGAGTGTCCTTTTCTAAAGCCGAACTGGTTTTCATGTATTATACCCTTGGAAGTAAGGAAACTATAGAGCCGCTTATATATTAACTTTTCTAGAATTTTCCCGAATACAGGTAGAGTTGATACTGGTCTATAGTTTTCTAAAAGCTGTTCATCTTCTTTTTTGTAAATGGGGCTGATTCTCCCAGTTTTTAATTCATCGGGAAAGTGGCCTTCTTGCATGCATTTATTAAAGTATCTAGCTAAGTACGGTGCAGTAATTTGACACGACTTCTTGATCACATGAATAGGTATGTCACTAGATTTCCCGTTTTTTAGTTCGTTTATGATCTCTTTAATCTCAATACAGTCACAATCACAAAGAAAAATACTGGACGTAACTGATGTGGGCAGGTAATCAGTAAATGACGGCAGGGAATTTATTCTTAAGAAGTCACCAGAGTATGCTTCGTTCAAGTTAGCTGCAATAGAGGCAAAGTATTTATTGAACTCATTTGCAATTACACGCCGATTAATCACACGCTCGTTATTTATCACAAAGTTAGGTTTAATCTCACGTCTCTTCTTACCACGCAGTTCATTAATTATCTGCCAAGTTTTCTTACTATCTCTTACTAAAACTGCGAAAGTACCCATTACTAGGACAAGAAATGCAAATCTAGGACGCAAGTAAACATTATCAATGAAAATAACCTTTGAAATGCTTCAACAGATTTCTCTATAGCCACATCCACTCCATTTGTCATGTCTTTCAGAACTCCACTAATGTCACTGACAATTCCTGATAAATCAGTTTTTCGTTAGGTGCACACAATTAGCAAATTCATCTTCATAAATAAATAAATAAATAAATAAATAAAGTCAATTTTTACAGCACAGCAATATATATCTAAATATCAGATCCTCTGTAATCATAATGTATAAAAAAGGAGCTTTTCTCTGTGCTGAAGGATGAATCAAGGCAGATCATGGTTCTGTTAGCAGGCCACCCTAATTATGGACAATACATATATATAAAATAATTAAATTATAATTTTAAAATTGTGTCAAGATTGAACTAAAACATAACTCAGGGTAAAATAGACGTATTCCCTTCGTCAAATTAACTATTTACAATAAATAAACATGAAAGACAGAATGCACCTTTTTATTTCATGTTACCTTTTGGTCTTTCGGACAGCATGATCAATAAGCCTTTCTGTAAACGGTAGCCAGAGTTCTACAGTACAGAGGGAGAGTTTATAGTTTCATAAAACATCGAATAAAAACGTACGATTACTTAAAAACCTATATTGCAAATAATCATAGAAATAGGAGATTGTTTACAACTAATTTAACGATAAAAAACAGAGGGCCGTATTTCAGAGCAATTTACTCGTAGAAGAGTGCAACTACAACAATTTATTTACATTAACTAGCATGAGACAAATCAAACCATGTTATCATCAACCAGATTCTAGTTAATGTATCCTATGCCTATGAAATATTACTCGCAAGAAATCGTGTTCAAGATTCCCTTTTACCATTTAAACTACGTAGTTATAGTGCAAATACAGATCTGATGATGAACCACATGGCTGCATGACAGTTAAAAATGTAAGCAGCCGTATTGTTGCTTTAATTTCAACATTCGTGGCTGTTCCGCAGCAACGTTCACAGATCACAATACAATTGTCGGTTGCTTCAGCATATTCATAGGCGCTCGATTTTACTTACTCATTCGCCAGACTGAGATATAACATACAATTTATACTTGTTACTGCGCGCAACAAACTCACTAGATTGCATTCTTTCGATACTCTGAGTACTAAGATTCATAAAATAAATAAATTACAGCCATTTATATTTTACTGTTACCCAAGCATTTTAATAAGCATTAGTTTTGTATATAAACCAATGGTCAAACTTTATTAATTAAACGTAACTTTAGTTATAAAGCTAATTTTCTTTTATTGGCTGCATAAGAAACTAGTGAAACAAATTTAAAATTTTATCCTTTATTTTACAATCATAATATAATAATATTTATAAGCCTCCGTTTTGAAAGTTTTAAATTTTAATACATTCACATTTCTATTTAAAATTCAATTTTATGTACAAGTCAATAACTGGCCGCCAAAGCCGCGCATTCTTGAAAACAGGATTAACTTGATTATAGTTATACGACTATGTAAATTAAAAACTATCCGTGGTTTTTTCTTTTAAATAAATAAATTATAATTTTACCTAAGTCCAAAGCCAGCTTTGAAAAATTTACTATTAAATCATAATATATCGTCAACTTTAAATATTTACAATGCAACAATTCATTAATCTGTAAACACGCGTACTCCAGCCCCTAAACGCATAAATTGTTATGCGGCGCGGCTCAAGCCGCGCACGCACGTATTATTTTATACTGTTTGCTTTCTAATAAATATCGTGCCAATGTGTACGTCTAAATTGTAAACGTTCATGTTTTGTGTAAAGTGAATCCAATTGGGACTAGTGACAAGGATAAGGACCTAAGTGCCTGTACGGCTTTTTCGGGCCCCTGTGGACCACTACTCTTGAAATCACTCTACAACATTGAACATCTATATCTACTACGTCATTTGGCAATTATTGTCATTAATCTAACTTTCTAATTAATTGCCGAGGGGGAAGAGTAAACGCTTCACATTAAAATTCAATATACAAAATTCAAAACCATCAATACGGTATTAAATATTATGGACAAGTCTATAGATCTATTTCGTAGTCATATATTCACATGATTTGCTTTATATTATATTATCTTAATACTGTAATGAAGTACAGTAGGATTTGTGTTTCGAGAAAGAAAGGTTGCGGTCAAATTATTAACAAAAGTAAACAAAAGTCCATCAGGGACTCCGTGGAGTCGAAAAAGGTACACGGCTGCTGTCTGGTGCTGCTAGGCATTTATTGATCAAGATGTTTTATTGTATTGATTTATAATGATTCTATTGTTCGTGACTAATCAAGTTCTAAGTGGAGGTATAAAGTGCTGCTCAAGATACTTCGTCATCTCATGTCCAGTATAATGATTAAGATAGTATACAATGCAGTTTTAGTAGTTGACCCATACAGTTAAGTCCGTCATAACTCACAATCGTTAAGTCGTCGGTCAATTGTCAAAGTCGTTGTGTGTTTATTCGTTGAGATAGCAGTAAGATAAGATGTTACGCGCGCGCGCGTTTAATCCCGTCGACGTGAAATGTGACAATGAAAACGCAATAGAATTATTATTTTCGCGCGTTACGTAGAGTTTACCAGTGTGTAATACTAACTAAATTGATTATATTTATTTTAGACAATTAGGTTCAACTGAGATAACTATTTAGTTAGTTGTGCCGAGAAGCGTTGTGATATTAAACTATTTGACATGCAACGACATCACCAATCACCTACTCGATCAACAGCTGAATTGACGCGCGCAATTTACTGAGGGGTTACAATGAAGTTTTATCAGATAAACTACGTTTGGCGTTGCGCGCTCCATATAATACCTGCCGGACCAAAAATGCATGGCGCAATGTGCGAGTGATACAAAATGACACGATATCCATATTTCACAGCCTCATTTTTATCGTAATTGACATTGCTCGAAAAACTAGATATCATGTTGAGCTACTTATTTTAGGAGCAAAACTGAAACCAATGAATTCTTAAGGTGTACTTGGCAAACATTACGATTTAGAAGTCCAACTATTTTAATCTTCATTACTGTGTAACTTTATAATCGTTTAAGTACCAACTATAAAACTTAGTTGTATTATTACAATTATTACAAATGAGATTGGGATATAATAGGTCTGAAACACAAACATACAAACATATAGTCTTACAATCAATATCAAAGGATACCGGAAATTGACGTCAAGCATGCATTATTCGGCAGTCATACACTGCACGTGTAACGATTGCATGCTGCAGTGTATTAGGGTATACTACAGTGTAATGAACAATTTGGTACCAGCACGTGGTCCATAGAGAGCAAGAGCTAGCTTATACAAGTCATGGTTATACAGTACATCTCTAGGCAACGGTATTTTAAAATCACAACGTAGGTCGACTATTCTACCTTTAAATTTCTAAGTCTAAATAACAACTTACTATTAACAGTATTAAAGTAAGTATAAAAGTGAGCACAAACCTTAGTACAGACCAGGTGGTGGCTATTCTCGCACTTCCTCGGAGCTCTCTCTCATCCGACATGGTGAACGTAACTGAAAGTGCTGGGAGTGTTCTAGAGGAGGATATGTATTGTGTACCAGGCTAACTTATTACAGATCAATTTTATATATCAGTTTGTTCGTTTCGTTTGATTAAAATGAATCCCTTTATTTCGAATAAATAACAAATAAAACGACATCTTTCGCTGTAGCTATTAGCTGTCAATTTCATAGCAATTTATTTACAACTAATTGATTAAACACAATATTAATTGGGTATAAAATTAAATTAAGTACATGTACATTAAAATAGATTATATACGCATTCTCACTTCACAAGGCTGCCCAAAAGAGTAAATTTCGGTACTTACACTGCGCAAAGCAGCTAGAAACCGTGAGAATTTACACCCATCACCGCTCCAGAGCTAGTCAGAAAACGGTTTTGAATTTCTTTTGAACCGCTTTCTAGTCGGTGTAGGGGCTAGAGCCGTTTGTTGCCTATTAGCGGACAGTAAATACCGATTAACTAATTAAGGGCTACAAACCGGCTCACAAGTTTCAGCTCACTTGAGAAATTATTCAAACAGTTCAGATTTGAACTCCTAAATCCAAACTACTGAAATGATCTTATTTTACGAGTAGATGCTCTTTTTATAAATACTCTGACGTAATCTTACATCAAAGCGGCAACATTACGCTACAATTTTTCAGGGCTGAGGGCCGCTGATCAGAATCATTAGCGTCATTTCTATCCAAAACCCTTTTATAGATGCCCATTATAAACTTAAATTCTGAAGAAATGCTGCAAGATCGACCATATTGCTAAATATCGATACATACTGCCTTTGTATTACTGAATTTAACCATTGGACATTGAATTATTGGCAGTGGACCAACCATATTTGTTAGTAAGATCTGGCTAATGGTGGACGTTTAGAAAGCCGTTAGGGGTGCATATTCGTGACACTCAACACTGTCTTATTTCCTAAGATCCTACAAAAGTACAAAATGTGTAAAATGAAAGCATATTATATTGTGTTATGATCCTAACAATTTACTTCCACGGTAATGTCAATCTACTTCTATTATACTACTATACGGTGTTTGATTACCTTCTTAGAATCTAAACATTACATATTCATCATATTGGCACGTGAGTACACGTGAGTCCTAACATTGTACGGAGAGGTTCAATGTAGGAGCGATGACGTCATTATGACGGAGGACTTTTACATCAGTCTTTGAACACTATATTCCCAGCGTTAAATTGCTAAAATTTCTATCATGAGCCTCGATGGCCAAGTTGGAAGTCATCCTTCGTGGATATATAACTTATATTAGTAGTAAAAATGTATTTCATTATCACGTAATTCCTTCCAATAATCCTACTAAAAATAAATATATACCCAAGCTGCACTGCCCACAAACAGTGATGTGATCAATAACCGGTTTTGAATTCAATCCGTAAAAGCAGCATACTGTTCTCATGAACCATTGTGCTGATAAACAAATAGGTTAGTTATATTTTTCAACTAAATTACAGTATAGTATGTTTGTGTAGAATCAAGATTAAGGGGGCAGGGGGGGGGTCTTTATGAAATTTCTCTCGAAATTGATTTTATAGTTGTTTCTAATAGAGGGGAGTGATATCTATCTGCTACTTTTGGTCCCATGGAAAAATTTTGTTCCTAGCCGAAATTATTGCCGGTCAAAGGTCAGCGCTCATGTGTAATTGTATTGCGCGAGCGATTTTCAATCGCGCGCCCTGAAAATCGAGTCTAAAAATCTATCTCCTCCTACATTTTTTGAGCAATCAACTTGAAACTTTTAGGATATGTTCTAAGGACCATTTAGAAACTTTTGCTCGTTTTAGAATTTCAAGATAGGCCTTTAAAAAGTTTTTATTCGATTTTGAAAATCTTGAACCTCGTTTTTTGACGATTTTTTCAGGTCCAAGATTTTCAAAATCGAATAAAAAATTTTTAAAGGCCTATCTCGAAATTCTAAAACAAGCAAAAGTTTCTAAATGGTCCTTAGAACATATCCTGAAAGTTTCAAGGTGATTGTTTAAAAAATGTAGGAGAAGATAGATTTTTAGACTCGATTTTCAGGGCGCGCGATTGAAAATCGCTCGCGCAATACAATTACACATGAGCGCTGACCTTTGACCGGCAATAATTTCGGCTAGGAACAAAATTTTACCATGGGACCAAAAATATCTGGTAGATATCACTCCCCTCTATCAGAAACAACTATAAAATCAATTTCGAGAGAAATTTCATAAAGACCCCCCCCTGCCCCCTTAAAGCGCTTTTGGGCCACCTATTTTCGTAAACAAATCAAACACGAAATCAAAAAATCTGATAGATATAACACAATATGTTTCGAATTAGAAATTAGTCAAAATCACGAACATTAATTCTTTATATTTAGAAATTTATTGAATTATTGAAATCAACTTATTAATCCTCTAGTGAAATTACACACGATCAAAATTATCTACAAACGATTTGATTGAATTTACAACATTCCTAGTATACATGTAATAATATTATCTAAATACTATAATCAGGAATAAAAGTGAGTACTGAGTAGGCGAGCAAAATTTCATTTGACGAATGACAATTATTCCGTCGGAATAGCTATCACGGACCGAAACAATTTTGTGTCAATTCCTCGATACTGTGCAAGTCTGTTAATGGTACTTTCAAGTAACAATAAAAACCCTCCCGTTATAAAAACAATATACCCAATGAAACTGGAAAATATGGAAAATAGGTCAACAAACTCCTCTCTGTCAGATTTTATTTTTGGTCCAGCGATCTGGTGATAAAGATATTTGATCAGTAGTCACGTGGCCAGGACTAATAAATTAAGCTTTTATTTTGTGCTTAGTATTACATCTATAGCATGATAAACATTGTCCGCTATCAACGTAGGTTTTACTGTTGGGTGATGCGCATCTTTTTCCCTGAAAGTGAAATCTGGGGTAAGAATAAAGTACGAAATAAACGTCCCTAAATTTGGGGTGATATTAATTTGTCTCACTCTGTGGCCTGTCAAATTCTGATACTATCTACATTCTGCAACCAACGTTCTACAAGAATACAAAATGTAATGGTGATTGTTGACACACACACCTGTATTTTCCAGTTTTTACAAGAATACCCTGACACCCCGCATTCATAGCCCCTCCAACATCACTATCAATATCATCACCTATCATCACCACATCACTGGGTGACAGTCCCAGCATCTTAGCAGCTAGGTTAAAGAATGCTGAGCTGGGTTTGCCGCATATCTCAGCCTGAACTTGACTTGAATACTGAGGAAGAGGGTTATTAACTTGCTTTAAATACACACATTACTAAAGTACTACATTGCTAATCAGATTATACACATCTGGGGTTGGGTGGAATAAAGTGCAGGAACCAGGAAACATTGCATTTTTAATGTACTCAACCAGGGCTACACTAGTGTAAAACGATACTCAATACTTATTAATACTGAGACCGTGTTAATGATACAAGATGTCTTACCTCCAGTCCAGCTATAAAGCACCCTACTTCCAGTTTCAGTACCCCCGAATCCAGGTAATACTTCCTGGAATATATTGTTATTAAATTAATGTTTTTTAGATGGCACTTGCAGAGACCGCATAAAAAGAAGTAAGGTATAAGAATTAAGAGAAATTAAAGCCAATTAAATCTAATTTCAAGGCAAATCAAAAATTTACATACGATTTTCCCAAGCAATAGAATTTGCGTTCTCCTGAAAATTTACTCTTCAATCAATATAACTAGAATGAAATAATCAAGTATTGAAACTTTAACATCTACAATCACAGAATGTCAGAAAAGGTCAGACAAATTAAATAATTAAAGAGAAAGTAGAACCCATTTAACTGCTCACCACCAACGAGTAATCTGAATGTTCTATTCATTGCCTCATACGTGAAATCATCCTCTGCATCACCAACTACCTGTAAATAACTGTATTACCCTGCAGTTCAACGGCTCAGTTTTGCAACCAGATTTGCTCACATTTTTGCGACCGGAAATGAAATTCAAAAATATTTCTCCGCACGGAGAAATATTTTTGATATGACCCAAAACTCCGTGAAAGCAGTTTTAACCTGGGTGCTCGCGTGGGACATTCATTATAATGCGCCCACGTGCGCGGGAAAATCTGCGTGCAAATACCAACCGTGGAAAAGTACATAACATTGTAAACAAAACTGCTTTCGCGGAGTTTTGCTTTTCAAAACTCATTGCGCGGAGTTTTGTGTCAAATCTGGTCGCAAAACTGAGCCGTGGAAGATTGAGAATTTAACCCAGATAAGACACATTATCAAATTCATTAAAAAAATGCACATAACAATTAGAAAGTTAGAAAACCCCCTCCCTCAGTATTTCAAAATGTAGAAGTCTTACCACTATATCAGGGTTAGTTTGATCAAACTGTGCAAATTCGTCTGCTACTTTCTCATTTACTAACACATAAGGTCTGTTGTTATTTTCTTTTATCACCTGAAAAACGGTAATATGATACTACGATAACGGTTAAAATTACTATGATAACTTTTGATCGAGCTACGTTAACAATAATAAATGTAAAAAGTTTACCTGAACTATGACAGAAACTGGAGATATTATTTTATCGGCAGATACATTAAATCCAATTCTGTTGAGCTTTTTGGCCATAGCCTCTGTTGTGTAGCAACTTTCATTAGTGCACAAGACATAGGGTATTCCACTCTCCTGCAACCTAGTGAATAAGATATAAATAAGTTATTACGATGTTTAATGTTTGTCCTGTGTACGTGGAGCGGTGGTACTACTTGGCGGTGGAGATGCAAGACATTCTTGGCCTGGTAGCACTCTAGCTCGGAACCCAACCCAAGTAACCCAAGTTAGTAACATATAAAAATAGCGTAAATGAAATTACAGGACGTTATTACAAGACGTGACTACTGTGAAACACTGATATGAGATATCCTAATAGAATTTGGATAAATTCTTGAATTAGATATTATTGTAACCTTTGAAATGCCTCAACAGACTTTTCTATAGCAACATCCACTCGATTGACAGAATTCTTTAGAACTCCACTTATGTCACAGAGGACTCCTGAAACAGTATTTTAATTTATGATTTTATAATACCAGCATATTCACTGATTACTTATTAACTGTAGATACTAAAATTTAACAATCCAGAAAGTAGACAAATCGACAAAGTTCTTAAGTTCTAACCAAATCTATTTCTAAAAAACAAATGACGTGGCTACTGCATTATATTCCAGAATTACTTGTTCAAGAAAAAGAAGCGCTAGCTTTACAAATCTCGATCAATTTAAAGCAATCGAAGGGTAAATGGAAAGAACGATTTAATTTCAAATTCAAATAATAATATGAAAATTTCCCCCAGTACCTTGAGGCTTCTTTGACAACATGCTTATTCTTCTTTCAGGGTGTTTGTCTTATCCTATTAAATAACAGAGTATTTCAATGATCGATATATCATTATCTTTCACAAAAACTTTTAAAAACAGAATTACTATATGATGTACTTAAATCGATAGTGAATGTTTTTGTAGAGGTAAGTATTACATCAAATATTGAAGCATTTTAAGTCACAGTTCTGAAAAGAGTTTAGTTAAAACGTGTAGACTACGAGACTGTTTCATGGCCAAATATTGGTAGCAATATTTTGTGCTCTACCAATTACAACACTAAAAATTTAATTGAATGTATACATTGTTTGAATGACTTTGCTGACCACGTTTCATGGCTATGGTTGCAATAAAACTTACAGTTTACAATTGTATCAATAAAACTTCTGAAACAGTACACAGGATTAAAAACACTAAAAGTGAAGAGTAAATTAGAAAATATTTCAGCATTAAACAGTCTAATATCTGCATTGTACCTGACTAAAGACATGAGGTTTAGAGCCGGTAAAGCTCCCTCGCAATTCAAATTACCGGTATCGATTTATTATTTTATGAAGTCTAATTATCAAGGAATTTTATTCCATCATTTCGGCTTGTTTAAACTAAACACGTACAAACGTAAAAATAGTAGGAACAACATTCGCCTTTTAAAATTCAACGGACGGTGTTCATGGACGAACGCAATGCCAAACATTCTGATTCTTTAACACAGGTAGGAATTTACTAAGGTAAAATTGATCCCTATTCCGTCACGGATTACCTGGGGACCTCAGGCTATCATGTTCAGAAACATTCCGCCGAATAGCTATTCGGCGGAATGACAGGCTGAGCGCGGCCCAGTAAGTCACGGATAAAAGTAAAAACGAACAGAATTCCAGATAATTAATACTGGTACTATTAGTTCCGCAGAATTGGTATGATATTAATGACACGTGACTCATACAGTGACACCGGCGTGACCTTGTGTTTTATGAAAAGTAAATGAAATTACATGACGTCATTACAAGATGTGCTTTTCGTGATAACACTTCTACAAGAATCCTATATTATATAGAGAGATAAGGGTACCGTCTTGTATACACAAAGAAATTAGTGGAATGTAGCCCTAAAACTAACTTTACTGTTTTAAAATAAAAATTAACTAAAAAGATTTGTGAAGTTAGTTATAACGGTGTGATAGCATGTAATATGATGACATGATCGAATATATCGGACAACTCATAATCAAATAGTGCTTATAGCGAACTATGTGCTGTTAAACTATAATTAAATGTTTTTCTTGAACTTCGATTATCACTTTATTATAGTAGTTAACTTCATTTTCTATATTTCATCGAATTCCTCAAAATTCATTATTATCAGTTGTTCTGAAGCCCTACTAACAAGAATTTCGCCGCGGTAACACCACGCACGATCAAATTTCCCTACTGCATATAATTTAATTGTTCTACTTTATTGTATCCCAGAGTGGTGTTTGGCGCATGTACAATGTAATAAACGTTTATATTATATTAGGCGTGCAGAACTTGAAAAATCCTGCGCGCATCTGAGGTGTCGCCGTCGATCTGTATGTGGTTTGGTTGTAGATCATTTCATACTTTGCGCGGTTTTGTTTCGTGTTAACAATAACGATATGCGTATCATGTCACGTCATATTATTGCATCGTATGCCAACTTATTGACTGTAATAAAATATGCTGTCTCGTCTTAGTTATTATTTGTATCTAACGTAAACTAATACATTTTGATTCTTACTCGACACATCACAGCACCATCGACTTTCGAGCCTTTTATTTGATATAGGATTCTTTAAAAGCATACCACAATCTTGATATTATAGTTGCTTCTTGAATGTAACTGTGAAGTAACATTTGTTCTCAACTATGTATTCCAATGCTTTCTACCATTCAGTGTCGATTAACTGTTAAATAATCAGCACACAGCCACGAGTTTATCAGCTGACATCATAATTTTATTTGTTTTGACTTGCTGAATTTTATCACTCGGTAATTTATTAAGCTTGTTTCACAAAAATAACACCTATATTGATGATTGATCCGTTTGTAACAGTCGTCAAGCACCAAAAACTGGTTGCTATGCCTGTAATTAATTAACTCATAACCAGCGTCGCGCGCGCAAAATAGACTCCTTTTATACACATAATTATAGGGGAGTGGTCTATATTGCGAAGGAGCAGACTTTTGTCGACACCGTAGGACCGTCGGGCCACCTCATATATCCAAACCCGATTACTTATTCCCTACGATCTTTTTGCCTTCGGCAAGAGTAGGGAAAAAAATTACGTTAATTATATATCTGAATTATAGTGGTTGGGATGTGAACCATTGTTTTGACAAGTGATTGACCAATCAAGATCCAGCATTGACCAATCAAAACAAATAGTGACCGTCACGTGTGAAAACAAATACTCTTCTCCAGAGAATTATATTTAACTGTCTCTAACAGCACGGAAATATCATTTGCCGTTCAGACGCATCAGCCGTGAAAATGATAAAATGATGATTCAAAATATGAATGATGAATGTTAATATATTAGACTGAAAAATGGGGATACCTATAATAAAAAATATTTGAAAATATGACACTGATGCAAGTTTCACAAATCGACTAGTGAAAACCGAATTATAACGAATTACATATAATAATTATACCACGTTTTATGACGAGCATATAATATATACGAATGTTGCACACAGCACCTATGGTGATCTATAAGGAAACAGGTTTATTGGCTGGTTCGTGACAAATAAACACATATTATCACATAAAAATTAACATGAATAATAATAATAACATAAAGAACACAAACTAATGAAGCTAATCACCCGTAGAATTTAACGTAGGAGAGATAGGATTACAACATATTCAAAGAAAGCCGTCATAGCCTTATCTTTAGTTGCACTTGAAGTCACGCACAAAATACTAATTTCACAAAGCTGTAGAATAAAGTGTGAAGTGAGCACTGTAAAGTTAATGTGATGTTTATAGGTATGATATAATCTGGAGGTGAAGTTGGAGTTCAGTTACAAATAATTTACTCCGAGGAAATAACGTTACAGGCAACTTTCTGATCCGATTGAAAACATTACCCAAGCAACACGTACGCTTGGGGAATATAGTGAAACCGTCAAGAAAATATGTACTTAAGTTCTAAGTAACAGGTAGTGTAAAACACAGTGTTGTTATCTTATCTTTTTCTAAAAAGATAGAATCAAATACCCTGCATAACCAGCATGAAAGTAGGACTTATTTACATTCGGAGAGGGTACTTAAAAACCCCAACAACCCGATCACGTCAATTTGAAACTAGTGTATTGTGGGAAACTAGCACTATTAATGTGGTTTCTTGAATACCTCCCTGCTACTATACAGAGAACAGGCATTATTTTAATTAATTAGATACTTGACCATTTAACTTTATTAAAATTTGTTTTCTGGAATTTGCTCATTGGTGCTTCCAATAATTATAAGATTTGAAATTTGATCGCAATTTATACCAATTACCCTGTCGTATTTTAACCTATTTATAACTCTTCAACTATGACTAGTTTCATTTTTAATGAAGTCAGTCACAGAAATCATTGAAATGTGCCTAATTCACCCTGGCATCATATTATTAATATATACTTTCAAAAAATTTTTTCAAATTGAAATGATTGAATTATCTCATATATTCAGTTATTAAATAGGAAAACCAGCACACAAGTGTGATTTACTTAGCAACGAGAACATCTTTACTAAAATTCGCCGGAATGACTCACACGGGGAAGGACCACATTCTTGTGACGAAAAGTTGTGGATGAGACCAAAAAAACATCACACGAATGTGATCTGTATGATTATTGATTATGCTACCACAAACATGGAATTCCACATGCTCACATTGGCGTGCGAACTTATTTTTTTGAACCATACCAGTGCAATAAATGCAATCACTGAGCAAGTACTAAAGTTAGTGTAAACTAACACACACCAGAGTGCAACCCGTCAAGCGTAAATTTGGAAATATCTAGCCAAGGTAAAGATAAGTCTGAAAAATCACATGCTGATTTACTCCAAGGAAAAACTCTATAATTGCGATGAATCTGATTATGAGGCTAGCTCAAAAGCTTTACTGTCAAATCATAAACAAACACATAGCAAAGTTTAGCCTTTCGAGTGTGATAACTGTGAATACCGGTGGACATTAAAAGCACACGATTTGAATCTAGAAGTAATCTGCAAATCCACATTCAACGCAGAAACTCAGAAAGTAGACCATTGAAATCTGAAACGTGAATATTGTGATTACAGTTCCAAGGGTAAGCTTGAACATAGCAAACATATTACAGAAATGCATATTATGCAATATGCATTGTGCAACAACCCAAAAGATAGACAATATTAATGTGTTCAGTGCAGGCAATATTGCATCTCAAGTTTCACTTTATCATTAAATCTATAAAAGCTGATAATTAAGTTATGATTAACTATAAAATTGACTGACCCCATAAAGTTGGTAATAACACACTCTTAATGAAATTATATATTCAAATTTATGTCCGTTTTCATTTCATTCTAATCTTCTTTTGACAATTAATCAATTCGAGGTTTTCTATTGTGGAAGTTCCCACATTTGTAGGCTAAAAATACTGAACATAACATACATGAGAGGTGTCTGCTTTGTTGCCCAAGGTACCGGAGGTGGAAAAGCAGTACAAACAAACTCAAACACAAAGTCTGTCCTTATGTTAGGATTAGAAAAGGGTTTATGGATCATTTAGGGATAGTGTACATTTACAGATGATTGTGTAAATATTTTAAAGCAACAACTTACCAGTATCAATTCTCCCTATGGCATAATTATAGAAGCCTCATCGTTATTTTTAAACTTGATCCTAGCAGCATCCAGTTTCCACTGAGCAGCACATTGTTTCTGGGCATCAACCGTGAGGAATATTTAGATGTGGATACTGGCGGGGAGGTGATACATGTTTGTTTACTTTAATAGTAAGTACATGTTCGGCGGGTTCA